ATGAAGATTTTATGCTGAAAATCCCATTCTTTCTGCATATACCAGTAATCACTTTGAAACACCAGGAACAGAAAGCAAGGGGCTGCCAAGTTTCAGAGGGCAGGTAAAAAATGCCTTCCAAGCTGCAGCAAGAGAAGCAGCTTCTCTTCGGGCTGAACATCCTCAGGCAGGAGACAGTGTCATCACTCAGCAGCTTTTAAGGCAGCAATTAAGCTGGGAAAAAAATATAAAAAACATTTCTACCTTCACAATGCAAGATAGCAAAAACGACCTTCAGTGTTCATCCAAAGATGAGAGAGTACAGTGCCATCCAGCAGTCTCTCTCACCCAAAGGAGGGGAACTTGATGGTATATAACCAGTTTCAAGCTAGGACAGGACCAGAGAAGAATGCAGCACCCCCAGCTGCTGTTTGGAAGGTGCCACATCTCATTTGTCACAGCCAGCAGCAGAAGCCCAGCTTCCCCTTCTGTCTGCCTGCAGAGAAAGGAGCTCCCATGGCTGCAGGGCATCGTGTTCTGCTACAAATGCACATGGGAAAGAAGCAACTCTTGTGCAGCAGAATGTGAGATGTACAGGAAATATACGGGGGAGATTTCCTTTCTGAGGGGCACTCCATTGACTCCAGACAGAATGTAATAAACTATACTTGCTTGTCCCATTTCCTTCATTCAGACTGGCCTTCCAGAATGTTGAGTTCTCATTGCTGAGGACAGCCTGTCACCAATGCAGGTCATTTTAACCTTTTGTTCAGCAGTGCTTGCACACATCCTTTCTCACTGCGTTCACACCACCCATTTCTGCTACCAACCCTTGAACCACATCACTAACAGCTTTTCAAACCAGTTGTCTCCCAAAGGCTGAAGCAGGAAGGCCAATTGCTCGTTCCTGAGATCTGTGCTTTCTCCCCATTGCTCATCTAGAGACTGAGTGCCCTCTGCTGACAGTCAGGGCAGGCAGCAAACCTTGAGGCAGTCGAGGTGTCTGGGTGCAGGCATCAAGGTTTTGGCAGCAGTGGGCTGTAAGCGTGGGGCCCTTTTTGAGAAGAGACCAGGACATCCTGCAATGCTCACCATCCTGGATCCATATACTGATAGCTTCTCAAAGGTCAGCCTTTTCTGAATGCGGCTGTAGAATATATTTTCTTCTCCTCCTTTTGTAGAGGAAACTATTTACTACCTACAGTCTCTCCTATTCTTCACTGGGTGTAAGAACAATTCTACCCAAAGGAGCAACCTTAATTAACTACTGTTTCAAGCACCTGAGCTTGAAAGGTTTTCCCAAATCCCCTAGAAGGGTTTAGGGGAATTTAGTGCTTTACGTGAATTTGAGTGCCTTCCCTGGAGAGTTTCTCTCTCTGCAGGAGTTTCCCAGCACTCTGTGGGCAGGAGAGTCAAGAACACTGCCTCCAAGCCATCCTGAACCAATAGCCTCATACAGATTTTCCCTCTGCCCTCCATCAAGCAGCTCTTGCAGGTTCAGGTCTTCCTCCTCTTCCCAAGCTTGACAAAAGCATTGGAGAAAACAGGAACACAAAGCAGAGTATAAACAGAGCGTATGCGACCCTTGGCCAAGGTAAAGGACTAAAGCAGACAGCAAGCAGAGGGAGAAACTGATCACTACCTCAATCTAATATCAGCTCTTCTCGTGAAGCTTAGTCTATGTTTGTGTATCCCCACCACAACCAGACACTGAAAGCTCATGGTCCTCCATTAGATAAAACTAGGCAAGACCCCCTACCCATCAGTACACAGCCCTTTGCTGTTTGCAGCATGAGGTCAGCTCTGCTCACTTTTTGGAGGTGTTGCTCCATTCCAGGACAAGAAATGTGCTCCAGGTGCAGAGGAGCAGCCCTTACAGAGAATCCCACTGCCACACACCAGATGGCTCTAAAGGTGGCCTTGAGCAAAGGCTTTGGCATGTGCAGCACTCAGATGAGCAGGGCCTGTTCAAAGGGTGCCAACTGCACCAGGAATGAATGCCTCCCTGCTGCACCTCCTGCCATGCATCTTGCATTAAAAAAGCCAAACAGTAAATAATTATCTCACTTGATCATGCTCATGCTTTAATTACCCCAGCACAGGGAGGTGCTTTCCATTCTATTTCTGCCTATTCCTGCTGTTCGTTTCAATGCAGCATTAGCTCATTTTTACACAGCTGTACCTGCTGCGTGTTTAAAATCATTCTCAACAGACTTTCACAGTGACTGTTTGCAAACTACACTGAGAATAACTATTACCAATGTGCCAGTGCAGTAGAGTCATAATTGAAGTGAGCGTGAATAACAAGGGAGGCTTCCTTGCAAACCAAAACCACGTGCCTGACTTACAGCCACAAACCCTTTTTTGTTTCTCAAAACTTAGCATTCAGGAACAACTTCCAAAAAATAATTTCATGGATCTTTTATCAGGTCCGAAACCAACGCAAGTACAACTCACCTTGCCTGGGAGCCTAACAAACTTCTTGCCTGCAAACTGAAGTTCTGTAGCAAGTAAATGAAGACAAAAGCGCCCATCCAGATGCTTAATGCTACATTGAGCTGGAGCATGCAGGACATAAAACCCCAAATACCTTTGATAATTTCTTTGGTATATTAGACTTTGGCATATTAGATAAATCTCATGTGTATCCTTGAACAGGATGAGGGTTTGATGCCCTTTCTGATGCACCTCGTGTCATCCTCTTCACTGATACGTGCCTTTAAGGCTCTCAGGAGAGAAAAGACTATTGTATAAAGGATCATGCAGCGTGAAATTGAATACACATACATACATAGTTTTGTTTTCATTGCATCCCAGAGGTACCCTTAACTCTACAGAGAGCAGCACGGTCCACAAAACCCATCACTTGACATTTTATAATTAAAACTCATGAACTGCTCCCATGAAGATTTAAACTTACATTTCATTCTTGGTGTCTGATACTTTCAGATGCTACAGGTAAGTTGCAGGAGGCATCGGACTGGAAAAAGCAAGCAGACTTGTGACAGCATGGCTTTGTGGGAAACCTGTGAGGAGTTAAATCAAAGGTCTATTCAGTAAGAACACACCAGAGGCTAGCTGGAGACAGCTACAATGACAAAAATTGCACTCAAGATGCCCCTGTTAGAAATAGCTCAGAGATCACTGTGTAACAACTGTGACTGGTATCAGGATGTACTACTACAGTACAGACAGAAGGCTCCACAGCCAGTTTGGATGCTATATTTGCCTTGCAACTGGCAAGATGTACCTGCTTGGATTCAGAGCTCACGAGCATAAGTGTGCCACTGAATGTTCAGAATGTGCCACTTTCCAGTCTAGAAGATATGCACTGTTCTCCTCCTTTAAAATGGAAAGTTCTGAAGATACTCTATAACAAAGTCACAGTGGTTTAGCAAATGCTTCAACAGCTGATCACTTCCACGCTTGTCAAAGCAATGTATTATTCTGGTACGGAAGAGCTTCAGCAGTGCTAAGCCTGCATTACTTTGGACTCACTCTTCCCCAGATCTACCTCATACCACACATGCAATCTGCACAAGGGCAGTCAGTTTCCAAACCAGTTGTACCAAGAACCATCCAAAACATCTACAGAGTGGGTGGTTCCATTGAGCCCAAAAAATGTTGCTCCCATAGGCAAAGTTGGGAACACCCCTAAGTAACAGTTGTACCTTGTTACAAATCATACTCTTTTATCTGAAACAAATTCTAATTTTCACCATTATTTCAAGACAAAGACAGTATTCTAAATAACTCAGCACATGCTTGTACTTGCTCTGATTGAAGTTCTGTTTGTAAATAATGAAGCTGGAGATTTAGAAATTCACTCTCCCCCCTTAAACAGCAATAGGCATCACAGGCTTCTCTCTCTTTGCACTTTCATTTCTGTAAAGCCAGTCCTAGAGCTCTGTTGTTGGCTTGGATGCTGACAGCACAGGGCAGGGCCCTGGCACCCCACCATCTGAGGGAGATGGATTGCTTGGTCTGGGGTATAGGTCTGCTTTTTGGCACAAGACGAGCTTGTGGGGATTCACAGTCTCACCAGGGTTTGGTATAAAAAGCTGAGCAAACTAGATGCACCACAGGATGCATTTTGCTGTATGATGTCCCACAGACAAGAAGAAAAAAAAAAACAACAGCAAATCAGCAAAATTTTACTTTTTCTTTACCTTTTTTGGCGCTGGTTTCTGGCACATCCTTTGCAGCCCCTACCAGATGCTTACTGAACCTTTCCATCCAGCCCCAACCACCAGCATTTGATTGAGCATAACTACCACAGGCTTGTGGAAAGGAAGGATGTCTCCAACAATGGGACATCCGCCACCTCTCCAGGCAAACTGTCCCTGTTCCAGTGCCCATACCATAGAAAAACAATCTCCCCTCTTTTACTTTGAAACCATTTTCCCTCGTCCTATCACAAAAGATGCTGCTGAAGAGTCTGTTCCTGTCTCCCACATAACTGCCTTTAGATACAGAAAGGCTGCTGTCAGGTATCCCCAAAGCCCCATTCTCTCAGCCTGTACTCATACAAAAGGTGTTCCTTCCTTTAGATCATTTTAATGGCCACCCTCCAGCTGTGCTCCAGCAGGTCCATGTCTCTCCTGTGAATTCCACATCTGGATGCAGTTCTCCAGGTGAGGCCTCACCAGTGCACAGTAGGTCCCTTCCAACCCCTGAAATTGTGTGATTTATACTTGTGAACACACTCAGAACCCCAGAAGTATCTCAATCTCCAGAATACATGCTATAAAAACAAGACCAATAGGAAGTACACAATATGAAAGCAGAGTTAACAGCAAAGAGCATGATTTAAATGATCACCAAACTACAGTACTACTATAAACGAGCAGCTCTAGGGAGATCTGCTACTTAAGGGATGTTTCTCAACACAGAAAGCATTTGTTTTTAATGCCCAAGAGACATTAAAGCATCCAAGGAAAAAGAAAGTACACTCACTTGTCCTGTGTAAAGATGGCAGTTCCTTTGAAAATAAGCTCCCATGAAGACAGAAGCACAAATGCTCGGATTGTAAATATATATTTTGGTTTGAGGAATACTGACAGGCAACCATTTGCAACAGGAAAGTATCTGATACGAGTCCAAAAGAACGATTTCTCTCAAGTGAAACATTTGGCCTTGCTAGCCTCAAACAAAGGCTAACAGTGTGTCAGGCAGTTAAGAACTCCCACTGCTGGTGATATTTATTAACACAGCCCTTGTGCCAGCTTGAAAAGAGTGGAAGTTCTGAATAGCTTTCACGGAACACAGAGAATAAGCTACAGACAAAACAGTTCCAGAACAACTTGTACTGACTTGATGATGGTATTGTCATGAAGTAGCAGACCTGGCTAGGAAAAAAAAACAAAAACAAAAACAAAAAACCCAACCAAACTCACTACTTCAAAACCTTTGGATTAAAAAGTAAAAAAACCTTTTTTATGAATACGAAGATCAAAATTCACTGTTCTGTGCAGACTTTCTTTATTCTGTTGGAACCTCAGCATTTCGAAGAAAACACGAAGCATCTGCTTTTGGTCAGTAAAGTGTCCATTTAATGAACTCCTCAGCCACATTCCCCAACCCTTCCTCCCACCCTAAAATTTCAGTTCACACTTGAGCAGCAGATGACAAACTGACGGAATACAACAAAAGCCTGAAAATCTGTACTCTTAAACTAAGAGCATCAAGGGCCAGTATTTGACAAAATTATCTAGAACTCACATGTGCCCATGCAAAAAAAAAAAAGCAGATTTTTATATACAGTCCCTATTTATTTTCTTATAAATTTAAATATTTTACAAAAATGCATTTTCAAAATGTATAAAGTTCAGTGAACACCCCAAATGTATCTTAAAATAAAATGTTATCTGATTTCAATGGTTATTTCAAGAATGAAGTCTAAATTGCACCAGATAAAAGGCACTTGTGCTGTGTGATGTCTTGAGCAAACGTATGTTAAGTTTATAATACAGTGTCTTCTTGAATTCATGCAGTTGTCTCTGAGCATCAAGCATCATTAAAGCAGCCAGAAGAGATCGTGAGTAAACTTGATTCCACAGCTGTGAAAATGTTTTCTATCACCAGGTTGAACATACAGCATTGTGCTCCAGCTCTGACTCTAGAATCAAACGCTACAGAAGAATTGCTGCTATTCACAAGGGAATTCAAACTACATCTCATTTTCTCATAAGTTACAAAAAGAAGTACGTCATTTAATTATGAAACTAAAACACCACTGAACAACTCTGTGTTCACATAGTGTGTGCCAATGAAAGTCTGTATTTAAAAATGAGCTAGGGCTAGTTATTCAAGGAGCAGTGCATTGTACTTTCAATTTCCACTTCACTGTTGAGATAGAAGCGCAGTCCTGTTTGCCTTCATCTTCTCCAGCCGTTTCATTAAGTGGCTATTGGTCATCTCCATCTCTTCTATCTTATCCAGTGCTGTTCTTAACTATAAAATGAAAGCAAAAGTTATCACCACCAAATTTAATTGGAGTTTTTGCTGTGTTTAAGCCTTGACAGTGAAAATAAAAGTCAGAAATACAGCTTTTAAATTCCTTACAATAGTACTGTGTGAGTTAAGGCTGATACTTGAAGAGTAGCCATATCATTACTGCAGCCAGATGAAGGAGAACTTAAATATTAACATAATAACGGGTAAGCAATTTGAATATGAAACACTGTCATCACCAGTTTCCCATTACATGCTATTGAAAGATAAGGTCCTCTCAACTACTGTCACTAGCTGCTGGGGACATATTCCCATGGGTAGCAGGCATCACACAAGCAGCAGCAAACATGTTCTTTCCAGCTCTTTGTGAGGTATGTGATGGATACTTCCTAGGATGATACTCGATTATGGGAAGGTTGGCTCCTCAGTAATATTTATGGAAGGATTAGCTTAAGATATCCAAGTGACCACATTTAGAAGAAAATATAACTTCAGATCCTCTCTTTCAAGGACAATACTGCATTGAATGGTATTTAGTACTACTTTCACGTGCTACAGTTGTCCTCTGAATGCAGCACTGAGAGTCAGAGGCCTTCTGAAAACACTCAAAGCTGTAACAGAAGATTACTAAAAAGAGAGAGCTTGGACATAAAAGACAGTGCAATTCCAGACAAGTGAATCAAGTTAATTACCTCTCGCTGAAGCTTCCTCTTTTCAGCTTTGAGTTCATCTTCCACCTTTTCTGCATTTTCTGCTGCATTTTTATACCTTGCAACCTGTCCCTCCAGCCGTCCAACCTGCAAACCCAAACAAAGTGAGAGGAATGATTAGCCAAGGTGTTCCACTCTGAGCTCACCTACCACCACCAGTTCTTCCATTTCCAAAAGAACACTAACACAAGGCATCCTGTGAACTACCCCTATCTCTGTAGAGAAAGAGGAGGTTTAAATGTACTCAGCTACAGCCATAACTTCAAAGTGTTTAAAACAAAAACAAACAAACAAATCCACTATTACCACCAAAAAAAAAAGCTAAAAGCAACAAAATGGCAGGCAGAACTTCCTTCCCTTCTCTGCTGGTCTCCTGGCAAAGGATGCAGAAAACAGTAGAGAATGGAACATAGTATAGAAATATTTCAGATGATATGAAAAGAGACTGAACTAAGCAGAGAGAGGAATCTGTAAAACAAAGAACTGGGGAATACATGGGGATTAATATTAACCCTGGAAAGCTAAGAAGCAGAGACAGATGAAAGTAGAAAGAAGAAAGAGTCATAACATGATGCAAGACATCTTAAGCCAAAGCACGGATTTCAATAGAGAAGTATGGACTACAAGAGTGCAGTCGTGCAACTTTGACTCACATTTTCAAGTGATCTGCAGAGATGCTGCATTATACCACCTTGTTACTCACCCTTTGCTAATAGACTAAAATTCCTGAATTCAGTCCCTCTTTACATTCTGCTATATATTAATGTGCAAATTAAACATAAAATACAGAGTTAGACTATGCACAGCTATTTACTTGCAGCAAGTAGGAAGAAAGTACAAATGTAACACTGTTCTGTGCAAACTAAAGAACAAGTAGTAAATCAAATTATAGGTTTTCATAGGTTTTCTTGAGAAAAAGTATTGTGAAAGTTTGCAGAAAAAGCATAATGGTATGAATAAACTTGAAGAAAGATGCACTTACATTTTGTTCCAAGGTGGTTATGTCTTGTTCAGCTTTTGAAAGTCTAAACTTGTATTCACTAATTTGTCTGTTGGCATCTCCTAGACAAAAATTGACATGAATACATTTCTCAGAGTGGTTCTCTGTACTATCAGTACTCCTTCTAAGTCAAATTCACTAACAAAGCCCATTTTATTTATATTGAGGCATATGACAATCTGTTAAACAAGCAAAATATTCAGCTAAAGGAATAACTTGCTTGGAACGGAAAAGAGTGTAATGCTGCTAAGAAGCAGTTGTGAATTTTGAGCTATATTTTAGTAACTTCTCATATTTTGCTTTAGGGAATGGTTAAATCTTTTAGATAAGTTTCTGTGTAAAACAAAATAATCAAAACATTTTAACAAAAGCAATTCAGGTGAAATTCTAAAAGCTAAAAAACACATTTGTTCAAGTATCGACACCCATTCTAGGCAAGACTGTTAACTGAGAACCAACTAACCACAAGTAAATACATATTTTTTAAGTTATTACATAGTGAGAAATTTCCTGCAAGGAGTCATACCAAGGCAAAAATACCTACTCCATGATGTATCTGCTCCCAATACTACCCTGTGTAACAACACAGGAAAAGGTAGCCAGCTTCATCTCCCCAGTAAGAATACCTCTGAATAGTAACTGTATACGTACTCTGCATTTCAATTAGTTGCAAGTCAGAACCATTCTCTAAGCCTACTATATCTGGATTCATGCCATCACTTTTAGAGTATTTCTGCCTTTCTTCTTCCAATTGCATCTTCAGTTTTCTAACCTGAAACACAAGTTTCACTTTGTGAAAAACACAAACATTCAGTAGCAGTACATGTAAACATTCAGTGAGGCCAAATAGTAGCAAGATGCCACTTGCTGAGACAGTTCTGCAAGTGGGAATAGCAGAATGTATGTATGCAGGATGTATGTTTTCTTGAGCTCTCTTCTCAATATTGAAACTACATTAAAACACAGCTACTTTGGTACCAGTAACTTTCTGTTTAAGTAACTGAAGAGATTAAAGAAATTGTACACTTCACTGCTCAGCAGCTTGGCAGAAAGATGCCAGAGCTTTTGAGAGCTACATTTCACTGAATTCAGTATTCCTGGATAATACCAGAAGGAAATCTAGGTGCCTGCATCTGTTTACTGCTACTTTATGAATATCCTGTAAAGGATACACAAGAGGTACATTTCTGACAATAACAGGTTGTTTTACCTGGGACAGCAATTCTTCCTTTTCTCCAGCTAACTTGCGTAGCCGGACATCTAAAACAAGAGAGTTCCATTAGAAAACATGAATCTTTAAGTAAGGAATCTATTTCTTGTAATTTTTGTTTTCTACGTAAAACATTCTTCAAACAAAGCCAACAGCATTGGGAGAACAAAACCATTATATCTCCCTAGCAATAACATAATGCTTTTCAGTTAATAGCAGTAAAATGAAAAAATACCCAATTGTTCATATATTAGTGTAACAGCTCTAGAACAAAGGGCTCTGAGTTTAATAATTCTACAAAGTAAATTAACAATCAAGTAGTCAAGTGAAGACCGGTTTTAAATAGTAAAACACAGTTTTGTTTCAATCTAGAGGCAGCCAACATGTTTTTTTCCCAGTCACATACTCTTCTTGCCTTATTCTTAAAGATTGCTACCTCTTCAGGTATGGCACTAGGCTTGTGCAAAGCATGCATTTGTAGAAAGTCTTATAGTGGCTGTTCTCAAACCACAGAAAACTATTTGGGAAAGATCCCAGAGGAACATTTCAAAATCTCAAATCAGCTAGGAGATCAGTAATAGCTTCAAAATACCCTGCCAGATAATGAAATGTAATGATTATAGTAGTTTACAAGGAAAGCATAACCTTGTCAGTAACAAAGCATAAAGGTGTGTATTTCACAATACAAACATGTACCAAGCCCAGCCCCCATCTAAACAATGCTTAATTATTATACATCGTGTGCAAATATAATGCAAGTGTATGGAGAAATTTATCTGCATGTTAACTAACAGTTTCACAGGGTATTGACTACACACAGATTAACTAAGAAGCTAAAATAAAGGTCTGGGAAAAAGAAAAAAAAAACATATGTTATCTTTGATTGTTGTTAAAACTGGTGGATTGTGAACGGAAAGCAAGCAGATCTCAAACTCTGACTTATTTTTGGATATTTTTACCTAGCGGCCCTTCTCCTGCAGATTCCAAGACTTGAGCAGCTTCCTGCGATACAACTGTTATTGCACCAACTGCAGACTCATGGTTGATATCACCATTTGGTGTGCCATCTGGGATTATCACTAACCCATGTTTCTGAAAGTACAAAAGAGAAATTGGTACTCAGAGGAGACCACTGCTAAACTGCAACCGTACAGAAATCTTTTTGAAAAGCCTTCTTGAAGAGATTGAAACAGTTACAATGAAACGCTCCATACCCCGAGGTCATGTATCGAGGCTGCACAAGAACAGTAACCATTCTTCCTCCTTTTCACCAGCCTTGATTTCATGCCCCATTGCTGGATTTCTGACACCATCATACAGCTACTACCAACATACCTCTCCTCTCTTCATTGTTTCCTTCAGGTCAGCCAACTCCTCTCTGAGCTCATCTCGCTCATTCTTAATGCAGTCAAAGTAATCTTTCTGTCTTTCTAGGGCCTGGGTTCAGGCAGATAGCAAGAAAAAGAATGGCATAGAGAAAAAAGATGACAGACAGCAGAAAGATTTTCTAAACATAAATACAAAAAGCTTAATAAAAGAAATTAAAAGGGGTATTTTATGTATGTAAAATGCATCTGTGTCTAACATCTAACAACTACATTTTGCAAGTCAAACATCTAGCCTCACTGCCATGTTTCTCATGACAAATTTTGTCCCAGAGGGGTCTTAGTTAATTTCTATTATAGAACTTTTTAGGAATATTCTGGTTTTGATAGATTTTGATAATCTAAACAAAGCACCAGAAGAGCAAGTCATTCTTCATTCTTCTTAACATGGCCAGATATAAAATTTGCTGGAACTCAATTGTCAAAAGATCTCCAAGCATCACACCCATTGAGATAAATTTCTGTAAGTTCTAAAGTATGGAAGTAGAAATCTTACCTCACTGAACCACTGCCATCCACTTAGAAGTCTAGGTTATTTCTACCAAGCACCTTTTACTATAAGCAAAGTAATCACTTCCACAGAAAAGCAGAAACAAGCACTAGCAGTACTATTCCAGCACGAGAAAGGATCACAGCTAAAAGCACAATGTATGGACATAGCTGGGTTTGCCTACCGAACTAAAATGCAGCTCTGTTACTTGGCAGTTAATCAGACATTTTCCCTTGACTGGGCAGGATCCCAGTATTCCATTCAAGCTCAATATTGCATGCATTACAAATGATCCTGACTACAGGGCAACTGCAAAAACATGCACAAGTTTTCCTAAGAAAGTTATTTAGCTACACCTGGCATCATGCTTTTAGGAGGGAATGATAACAAGAAAGAAATGAAGGTGAATACCACTGTATTGCTTGTAATTGCTCCACGTGATTGCAGTATGCTGAACTTTAATAATTAGCACAAAACAATTAAAATGTAGAATTTAAGATGTCCTTTCATTTCCAGACCCACACTACATCTTTGTAACAACATCAGTGTGAAGATCCTTAATCAGTACATTGTTTTGTGTTCCACTTAAAGATGACTGCCATTTCTGAAGCATACAGGGGTGGCGTGGGGGTGAGTGTTCTATGTTCACCCACAAGGGTGGGCACAGAGGCCTAAAGTCACACTGCAGATGCAGAACCTGTGCTCTTGGCAGTGCCCTGTGATGCTGCTGGCCTTGCTAGAACACCCTTCCTATTTTCTCCCAACACATAAAAGTGCTGGCAAGCAGGAAATAGGGGTAACCACGTTCTTATACCTACGGAGAGATTGTTAATAACTACTCAAAACTGAAAAATCTTAGTAAAACTGCTAGTTCTTGTATGCCTGAGGGTTATGATATGACACGGATTTCACACTAGATATTGTACTATTGCAATTCTTCTCATAGGAAAATTAAAATTTAAATAGTAATAATAACAACAAATTGAACTCTACAAGCACGTTTTGGCATACCAACGGGATTAAAATCTGACTGCCTGATAAAGAGCATATTTGTCCAGGGTGTTTATTATTAAATATTCCAAAAACCATGAAATCTATACCAAACTCAGATACACCACTGCTAATTTCAAATTGGTCACAGACGTACTAGACTACAACAGCTGTACCTTTCAGTAATAATCTAACCTAAAAGTGTTGTTCAATGTCCTCAAATTGACCATATTATAACAAGGTGCAACTACAAATTTTGACTGCTTTGTAGAAACAGGATAATATAAGGAGACTTGGGTAAAACAAGTCATGCTATCTTTGTTAGGCTTGCCTTTCTTCCTTCCTCTGAGGTACCAGTCTTGCAAACATTTTAGAGGTAGGTTATAATTCTAAGTCAAACTACTTCCTTTGCAAAGCTTCAGAAATTCAGAAGCTGGAAGAGAGTAAAATTAGCAATGTGACTCAGTACTGAGGAGAAAGACAAGAACTGAGAGCTTAGAAAAATACCTGAACATTTTAAGTAATGTGAGAGAAAAAAAGACAGTGGCATTGTTACATTTCAAGCAGTAGGAGATTTTAAGTTTGAGATGAGAAACTGTGAGGAAAATTTTTCAGCTTTTGACTTTGTGACTGTCTGCAGTAACTAAAGGAAAAAATTATTGTCCAGGTAGCTTTTATTTCTTTGAACGTTAGATATATATAATAGCTTCTGCATTAACTGTGGTGAGGTATTGGAAAGAAAAAAACAGAAACTGAGACAGTCTGGTACACAGAAGTGATGAAGAGTAAATATGGAAGACATATGATCAGTTAATGCAGTATTAAAATAAGCTTCCTGGAGTGTACCCAGAAAAAAACAACAACTATGGAAGTTGAAATACTATTTTTCTGATGCAGGAGAATGTAGCAGCATGGTTTGAAGGAATGAAACAATAAAACTGACGTGAAGGAAGAAGGTTGTATATACATATATTTTTAAATAAATCTGGGCACTGCAAGCTAAAGATAACTTTTCACTTTTCACACTGACTTGAGCTTCAACAAATACATTAATATTCAAAGAAATGTGAATAAGTCAAAATCCGGGTGTAAAATTAGTTTGATAGAAACAACCCTGAAGTTGCTGAAAGACACTTCCCTTCTGAAGACTACCCACAGTTAACTCCCTCTGACCGCTGGGCAATTTACTTGTAGACCAGAACAGCCACAAGTTCAGGCCATGCAGTTATTTTTTAGGGTCAGCCTGGTTCTGAGGTAGCTTTTCCATTGTGACTGCCCAGAAACAAAGCTGACAAGCCCTGCCTGAACTGTATCAGCTGTGAAACAAATACATGACTCTGTTCTTGCTGCACCACCTTTCCTAATACACAGGAACCCTATAGATACTCCTCAAAAGAGCTGACACAGCCAATGTTTCAATTTCAGCTCTCAGTCTCTTGGTACCAGTCAGCCTGGTTCAGTACTGTATCCAAAGTAAAGACCTAGAAGGATCAAGAATGCAATACAGAAACGTGCACGTGTGGCTGAAGAATTCAACTCAAGTCTGCACGCATATCTTAGCACTAGGTATGCTAACTACAACCTTAACAAGTATTCACTGAGACTTCTCTGCATTTGAACCCTTAGCACCTGCAGCTCCCCAGGTTTTCCCCTATTCCAAGTAGTGGAAAGCAGACCAATTAAAAATCCACTGATTCTTAGGCAAATTTCTAAGGCAGCAATAAAGGTAGCAGCCAAATCACTAGCAAAGGTTGACCTCTGTTCAGGTTTTGAAAAATTTAATTTACCTTCATAAACACTAAAAGCGTTAAAAGTTACTTCAATTCTGTGTAAAACTCTATCAGTGCCACATATCTGTGGATCAGTGTAAAGGAACAATTCTTATATCTGTTAAGGATATGCTAACAGTGACTTTTACAAGTCTTGACTACAGGTTAAAAGTGTTCTGAAAGAAAAAATTGTGCATAACAGTTAATTCCATTTTTTTAATATATTAATATTATTGACCGTTATGCAAGTAAAGAAAGTGGAGCTAATTCTCTCTCTCAAACAAGATGACTGCAAAACATCTTAAATATTTAAATTGGGAGTGGCCTTCATTTCTTTGGAGTACACAGCATTCCTTGGGAGGAGGAGGGGAATTAGTCTACTTAAAAGAACAATTCTGCCCCCGTATTTGTTTCCTACCCCTATTTTTTTATCTTTCCAATTAATTGTCTCCTGGAGATCAAACACCTCTTTGGTTATGGAATCTATATGCAGCTGCATGCGTTGATTCTCCTGTAGTAAATAGTATAAGGGAAGAATAAAAGAGGAAAGACAAGTAAGAAATGAGGAAAAAAACAACAAAAATTCACATTTGAAGGTAAAGGAAATAAAGCAATAAAAGACAACCAAAGAGTATATGAACATGAGGGTAAAGAAAACGAGTGTGACTTTTTCATTTGAATTCATGCAAAAGAACTGTAGTTTTATTCCACTTCTTCATGTCAAGGGCAGAATTTTGTACAGCTAGCACTACTGTTCTTCAAGAGTTCCCACTGCAGTTTGGAGATAGCATGCCTTCTTCAGACAAACAATTATTAGGTGGTAGTTTCCAGACACCTTTAAGCACGGTTTGGAAGTCAACGTTCTACCCCACCTGCTAGCTTCCCCCAACCCCTCCCCAGATACACAATCTGTTAACTAGAAACAACCTTGTTTATGGAGTAAGACCTGAGAGAACAGATAATGAAATAAATACATTTGGAAGGTTACTGCCATAGAGCAAACTAATTATGTAAGATAGTACTACTGCAAGAAACTTTAATAGATTTTCAGCCTGCGCTTGTATTCAATAATTTGTCTACCACTGGTGGCAAAATAAATACTTCATAAAATAAACAGAAAGCTGGCTTTTAGCCCATAAATTTAAAATTTAAATTGGTGCTTGCTAGATGCTGACCATTAACAACAACAAAAAAATCTAGAATTAACTGCTGAGGAGAGTATTACATATATAGCATCTTCTTCATGTAATCTGCCTTCAAAGTATTGCAACATTAGTCAAAAGCAGTAGGAAGTATCACAGTACATGGACAAGTTGCAATATCCAACACTGTTCAGCAAAGAAATTTAGAAATAGAGTAAATGCACAGGACATGACAATAGGAAAAGTTAAACTGTTGCAGGAGATTAATTACCAGCTGATACTGAAAAGTTAGCTGACAAGGACAGTACAATGATATGTATGGAATTATGGCTATATAGGAACTAGTTATGTGCAACTGGCAAAAAACACTTGCTTTAGTGCTTTTTACACACTTCCCTTGGCAAGTGATTTTGCTAGTGTTTAACAAATAGAAAACTCTCTTGAAAGCATAAAAGAAGAATGTTTGAATCAAGCATCCAGGAAGTGAAGTGTGCTTGCTGACTACTTTCAGATATTTTAATCAGTGTATTTCAAATATAGCACTACACTACAAAAGAAAAAAACAGCAACATGGTTATGACCCAGTAACACTGACAACTGTTGCTGCATTTATGCTTGACTGCAAAGCAAGCAAACACTCAGTACTGAAAACTCCAGTGGCTGATGGTCACAAAAATCAGAAACAGCTGAAATGGAAGTTTTGGGAAAAAGCAAAGAAGAATAGTTTGCACTATCCATGCTTCAGAACTTCTGGTTGTGGGATGAGATTTTGGTCATACAAGCATTATCTCTGTTCTCAGAAGAAAGTAAAGGCACAAGGCACATTCAGGTGAGAATCATGGTTACCAAACAAAGGATTTTCTAATACGTAACATACATGCAAATCTTCCAGGGACATTCTTAACTTTATGAGCTAACAGACTGATTAGCTTAAATTCTATTCTCTAAAACAAGATAAATTCTTTAATAAAAATGGGAGTTAATATTTTAGCTAATTTTGTGTGTGATGACTGTTCCTGTTCAAATCTTGCACTGATTTTATTTGTACAAGTTCTATCATGCATCATTACCACACATCAACATACCTCTATCAATTCATCTCTTTGTCGCAGGCCCTCTTTAAGTTCATCCAGCTTGTGCTGCAGAACACTGCACGTGTGTTTCTGTCTTTCCAATTCCTGTATGGAATTCAATGATTTTTATCGATTTGTGATTGGACATGCATTTTAAATATATTTAAGTTAAACAAGTTACTAGTCTATCTTGACATGACAATATCTAAGAAACCCCTGTAATAACTTAAGAAATTCTAACTATGTAAAATCTAAAAACCACAGATTAAATTTTAGGTAAGTTCCCCAGATACTTACTATACAGAAAATTCATTTAATAAGATAGGGAATGGAGACAAAAGACTCCATAAAGGTTTATGCATAATATCAATGATACCTAGTCTATCTATGTATTGCCTGGAAAAAAAACTGCCACAGATTTTCTCTTTCCAAGAAAGTTTGACCAAACTTATCCTATTCAGTTCAAATGAATATTTTGCTTTAGTATTTGGATGGATTCTTCTCTTAATACAGAGGTCTTTGACTGCTTCTTACTGAGAAGTTGGAGCTTCCTATGAACTATCTTTGTAGAGTGGGGAGGGGGGAAGATAAAGCCCTCAGAAATCAGTACCTTTGACTTCTCTTCATTTTCCCTGTGGTACTCTGCTATTTGCTCTTCTTTCTCCTCAATGACATCCTTTAGAGTATCCACTTGGTACACCAAGTTGTTTTTCTCATTGTCTAGTTGAGCATTGGAAACCATAGCTTTCTTGTACTTCTCTTCAACTTCAGAGAGCGAATCCTATGGGTAGAAAGGGTTACATTTGTCTTTTTTATTAATTGCTTTAATAATAAAAATTGAAGTGTTAACTGTTACACAGTCAAACTCCGCGACTACTCTTGTTTCTGATCTATTTTTTCTGTGACAACTTTATGGATATCAAGCTCAATTTCCATTATTCATATTATATTGTAGACAGCAATAGAGAAAATTATCATAGCACAAGTAACAAAATTACAGGGTAGTATTCCACTTGACACTTTCTGCTTCACAACATTCATAACTTACAGGAAGAAAGTATTATCAGCATATTATTTACTTCATATTCAGTGCATGCAAAGGAAAACATGTCAGAACACAGCAACAAATCTGAAAGAACTCAGACAAATGACTGTAAATGTCTACAGAAAAATCTCTCAGAGCAGCTTTAATTTTATTCTCATTATATAAGAAGGGCTTTATAATCTAGATTCAAAATTGAAAGGTAGACAAATCTTTCTAGTAATTATGATTATTTTGGCTTAAACTGTTTTATCTTCCTATTTTTAAGGAGTAGAATAGAGAAAATTTGCCAAGAAATACAAAATCATGCATAGGTCTCATAACATCATAACACGCGTAATTATTTATCCATGTTACAACAAACCTTCATTTTTAGGAAGCTGTCCTTAAAGTGCATATTTTCTCTTTTATTTTTCTATCATGATTATATAAATTCATGCCTATCAATTCAATACACTGAATTTTGGAATTTCGTGCCGAGAAATCTAGTATCTCAAAAACTCCAGAAGAAATAACTCCAGGGATGTCCAGATAGACTGCAGGTCAGAATAGACTACACAACATAGGAAGTATTGAGAAAGATATTGTTATCATCCAGGAGACAGAAAATAATAAACAGCAAAGAAGATTCAGGCTGAGATATAAGCAAATAATGAAAAAATAAAGACCCCTTCGAAGTGCATTCAGATAATTCAAGTTTTAGATTTAAAAATGTGATAATGTAATCATGACAAACTCTGTAGTTATTGGTAAATCAAAACATCAAGAGACAGGAAAGCTTTCCAACACTTTTAAAGAAGAATTCCATTTGGAAGGAAAAGGAAAATAATAGGAGTCATAAAAGGCGGATGATATAGTCCTTCTATATTTTACAGATTTAACAAAAGCAACAACAAAAACACCAGAGAAAAATGCCTACTATTGTTCATTTTCGTGAGCGTCTTGAGTGGCATCATACAGTAATGTATGTTGGCAGAGGTCCCTGTATGCCATCTGGCCTAACCTCCCAGTTAAAGCTGGGCCAAGATCATGCTGATTGGAGCTCTCTGCAGCTTATTTTGGACTTATTTCCATGGATGCAGAGTGCACAACAAGGCTGGGTAACTTGTTCTCGTGTTTGACTATCTTCCTTGTGAAAACTCTTGAAATCAAATTGGCATTTCTCTTGCTGCAACACAATTTTTGTCTGTTGCATCTGGCCCTACTGCTGCTTGCCTCTGTATGGAATCTGTTCTGTTTTTTCTACAGCTCCTTTCAGGCAGCTGAAAACATCAATAAAATGAACCCATGCCCCATCTTAACAAGTCCACATTCCCCTTATTTCATCCATGTGCTCCAGAACACTAGCCATCAACAAGAACTAAGAAAAGAGCAAACAATGATTGCAAAACAGATGCCTAGCTGCCTTAAAAAATAGGAAAAAAAAAAAAAAAAGACTTGCTTGGAGGTTAGAAGATCAAATTAAAACGCAATTAATCATCAAGTTAATGCAAAAAAAAAAAATCTGCATTTAGGGAAGAGGAATAAAACTGATATTGAGACAGAAGAGTGGCAATTGTTTCCAAGAAAGGAGATAAGCTTAGAAGACCCTGATCAATCGAAAAAGTTAATCTTACTAAGACATCTCTGGAATAGTTCCTTTGTTTAAGAGAAGACTAACTCACAGAACCACTAAGCTTAGAAGGACTGCTAAGAGCATTTGGTCCAATCGTTAACCCATCACCTCGCCACCCTGTCGTCCCTAGGTGCTACACCTGCCCTTTTGTGCTGGTAGGCTCTGCAAGGATGACTTCAGGATATGGCAGCAGATGTTCTGGATTAGGTATGGACACTTGCAGCAAAATCTACCTATACAGCAGACTGTTAACTGTCTAAAAAGTGATCAAAACACCTGAGAAGCTTTTGAGATTAAACCAACTGCATGACAAAATACTTTTTTTTCTTTTAGCATTGGAAAAATATTCATAAGCATGCAATTTTCATGCTATGTTCTCCTCTAGCTTAAGTTACCGTAGCTCCATTTCGTGCAATTACTGATACCATTATTTATTTTTGTAAAGCATCATCTTCCCTATGGTGCAAGAACTACATGCATTTTCAGTTATATCCCAGTTTTGCAAGAAGTAATAAGGATTTGGAAGAGTTTCTGAAAGACCTGGATGAGGCAGTAGGATGCCTGAGGATGAAGCAGCGGAAATGGGCTGGAATGAAAATAGATAAAACTCTGTACATAACCTGTAACTAAGAAGAAATACCACCAATAATTCTATTGGCAAAGCCAAAGGGCTGTGCAAATAAGCCTCTGGAGCTTGAACCAAAAGACTAAACAAAGCAGACATCAAGACAGAGCTCCATAAAATGGATCAGAAAAAAATGCTGAGGAAAGGAAAATGATTCCTTTTCTAGCTGCTGCAAGAGAATACAGAAAGACTTAGCAAAACAGAGGCAAACTGAGACATTAAAAAATGTGGAAAACTGACTAAATCAAAAGTACTTACAATACTGTTGACTATGCTGACACCCAGATTTGTAGCCAAGTGGAAAAAGAAAACCTTTTTGTAACAAGAGAGATAGGCAACTACAGAGATATGGGGGAAGTGGGCCTACAGATCACAGTTACCAGGCACTGGAAAAACACAAGTAGAAGCAGATACCCTTGTAGCCCTTGTTAAACGAAAGAAAACACCAGCAGTTGAGAAGGCAGTGCATTCCTAACTAGAAAGAAGGGTTCCTGAAAGAACTTCTCTAAATTAACTTAATATATTTAATATCATTAATAATAATTTTAAAAAATGGAATACATTTTGTACCATCTTTAAAGTCAATCATAGGTCAAAGATCTTATCAAATCCTCTAAAGAACATTTTTGCTACCTTGAACAGCTCTAATTACATATTTTCTCTTTGCTAGAATGTCTACCACATTGTTTAACCAAGAAAATAAAAGGAGGCTGTTAAATGCCAACATTATATTCTCTAGCAGCAAGAAGCAGCCATTGAATTCTTCCTCTATATGGATGTAAAACAAGTATGTTAAGAGCTCTATATTTTATACAAAGCCACTCACAACTAGATAGCAGGAAAGAGAACAAATCCTGGAAAAGATATTGTAAGTTGCCTGATTTGTTATATTTAGTTTTCCTTCAGTGCAGAAGAGAGACCAATCATACTTTAGATTAACTGCAAACTGTTAATTGTGGAAAATTTACAAAAGAAAAGCATATTAATTTAAGCAAGCCAAAATACAGACAAATCTCATTAACCCAATACTGAAAATATCAGTCTGTGATTTAAGAATATAACTGGAAGTGCAAACCAATACAATCAAATCATTATCTTTCATAACTGCAGTCTACAAATGATCCAAACAAAACAGTCTCCTCCTGCAAGCAACATGCCTGCCTACATGTCCATATTTCAAAAGCATTACTTCAGTTTTACTTTATAAAATTTCCTGGAAATTAGAAGAGTAATTAAGTTACTCATCATAACTGTATCTTATTTCTTTCTTCCTCATCTGACATATAGCAGCTACTTTGAATATCTATTTATTTGCTAACAAAGCACTGGAAAATACATTAAACCTCTTAAAACCTTAATCACAAAACATTCACTAAAATGTTAAAGTTAAAATAATGTTAACGTAAACCAAATAATGATTTGAAATGTACAACGAGCAGATCTTAACATTTTGTCCAAATGACAAAATCTGATGCTCTCTATGCATTAAAAGTTAGGCACATGCTTTGTAGAAATTTAAGAACTTGTTAGTAAAGCTTCATACAGTTAGTGGAACCAGTGAGATCTCCATTACCCCAGAATACCCATACAGAATGCATGCATGGGAGAAGCCCTAATACCTTCAGTTCTTTAAGTCCCTGCATGTATCTCCCCTCTACATCGTGTATCTGGTCCTTAAGATCATAGATATCCTGCAGGACATAGGAATGAACCATTGCATAAGAAGTATGGGGAAATACATTTGCAGTTGAAAGACTATAAGATTTGACATAAACAAGTTCCACTAAAATAAACTACCAGCAACATAAATACTGATCAGTACAAAATATACATTTTTCCCCTGATTGAAAATTAAACCCTCATAGCATTTTCTTACTACTATGAAACCAGAAGTAAAAAGCATTCCTCCCAACCACAAATACAATTTTAAGCTAGATCCAAATTCTCCAGCAATGCAGTTTACCCGTAATTCACTGAGGGAGGCATCAGGATCCAATAAACTGCTTGTATCTCCACTTCCTCTCCTAGATGAGTTGCCACTCAGAGGAATTGAATTGCGAGACGACGGCTTAAAGAAGGGAAAACATTGCATCAGGTATGACATAGTGGTATATTTGACTTCAGTCTTTATAAATTACTTCATAACCATCAAGCACTTTTCTCTCATCTTTACTTTTTCATAGGATTATTTTCCACCAAATGTTTTCCAGCACTTATGTCACTTCTTGATGAGATGTTGGTTTCTGTTTACAGTCATCTGATTTATGAGAAGCTTAAAGAACAGTATGTAGCAGAACAGAAAGAAATAGAAAACATATCAGTTATCGTGACATTTCAAGTTTATTCCCAATTTTCTCTTCAGGCGATATCCATAAGGAGCTGTTAGTGCCAAAAAACACTTCTAAAACTTCTCTGTCACACAGCATTCAGAATTCTCCAATGGGATCCAACATCTGTGTTTTTCAAGTCTTAGCCTCTTAAAATACAACCTTTCCTGGTGAATGTTTTACCCAGAAAATGAATTCTACAAGAACTTGATACTTCTTAAAAGGATATTCAAGAATAACATTATTTCCTTTGAGAATAAGATGCAATGCATTATTTTCAGTAGAAGCAGTATGTCCAAAATTATTTCTTTGCAAGTTCTTAAAATTACTAAAATACACCCCACAAAGAAAACACATATTTCTACTTTTGGAAAAATGTTGATGCTTTTAAACTGATGGATGAATACCAACAATCAAAAATTTTAATTCAAATATTCTTACCCTTGAAAAAATTTCTGAATGTGATTTTTCACTCTTTTCTTCCAGCTGAAAAAGAGAAGGAAAACTGGTCACAATACACCTTTTGCTACAAAAGACTACTAAAAAGCACTATTCTGTTCAAAGATACTGAAAAATATTTGAGAACAAAAAGTGAAACGAAAAAGAAATATCAGAAGTTAACACAGATCAAAATGCATGAAAAAAAATACAGCTTCAAAACATAGTTTTACCTTAACTGCAAAATAAATGAATGCTTGTAAAGAAAAAGCCAGAAACCCTTTACAAAGTTTTCCAAAGAGTCATTGCTTAGAATAAAGTACCGAGCAAAACAAGTTCCATTACTTCAAATTTGAGCACAGTAGGGACTGCAGCACTCGGTGGCATAACAAAGATTCATGCAAGTGCACTTCAGACAATCAGTGACACCAGTGTGAATGGTCTAGTTATTAGAAAACACATTTGCTACCTCTAACTCTTCAGTAAAACCAGGAGTTACATAAGGACAAGAACACACACAAGTGAAAGCTCTGAATTATTAAATAACTTTAATTCATTCTTTTTTTGGACTGGAGCCTGAGCAAACAAACATCTCCTCCACTTCACCTCCATCCCAACTTTTTATTTCAGATCCTTTGGTAATCCAGACTTGCACTGTAGACGTCCATAGTTCCAACATTGCAGGGAAATCAACACACAGATGAGTGCTTTTAAAAAGCATGACCTCTTCAAAAGCTGGTTTCTCCAAAACCGCCCACTTTGCTCCCAGCCCAGTGACAACAGATTTGGAAGTTTGCTATCATCACAGTACAAACAAATGTTCCTTTATGAGATCTTTTTCCACCTGCTATGGTTTCTACAGCTTGACAGTGCATTTCCATGGCAGATTTATCATCTCCAATGATATACTGAAATTTTAATTTGTAATATTTGCCACCCCCATGATGGTAAAAACGATATGAAAAATCCAAAAGATCTGAAGAATCATTTGGAAAGACAAAGTAATATCATAGCCTACATTTACATTAAGAATAAGTAGTTTTACATACTCCAAATTAACTTACGTAGGAACTACAATAAAAACAACTGAGAAAATAACAATTGTTTGTCTCAGCTTCCACACTTTCAGCACAGCAAGCTTGAGTAAAAGAGCTCTACTGTAAGTTAAAAAAAGCTAAGACTTAAAATAGATAAATGCTCTCTGTCATACTTTGACCACATACAGAGACAAATAAAATACAAATTATGCAGCACTATATGACTATTATACTGTCAAAATGTGGAATGACAGAAACAGCAGTTGTAAGGGTACTCTTTAGCAGTCATCTAGTCCAACCTTCCCACCATAGCAGAGTTGCTGCAAACAGAAACCCAGGTTAGCTTTTAATTCATAGGCTCTGTGTGGTTAACTTTCACCAGCTCCTGAGGTTGGAGATTCTCCAACCTTGTTGTAACCTGAGTGCAACACTAATCTCCTTGTGGAGCTTCTCCCAGGCTCTAGCTTTGAGGAGCAGCATGAGGTTGCAAGATGTACAGTTAAGAACTGCTTGGCTTTTACCTAATTAAGCAGTGGCAGGCTGCTAGTAGATCAGGTAGCCCTTTTCCTTCTACTGCATATGCTAGCCCTGATCATTCAAAGATAAGGTTATGTACAGAAAACTCCCTATTCTTTCTACTATTAAACATAAAAACTTTAATTAACAGCAATAAAAAACAAAGGCAGCTAGGTTTTTGAAGCTCAGATCAAAGGAATGCACAGAAAAACTGTCATCCCAATTTTCCTGCGACAAGCTCTGTTAACCTAGGGCTCAGGGCGAGGGCATAGATGGCTTCAATAAAGGATTCTTAGAAACTCTTACAATGGATTAATGAACACTAGAATGTGCTAACAATAACGTACTTCAGTCTATTTTTGTCACTAAAACAAATATTAGTACTCCAAAACTCCACAAAGCAAAACTAGGTATTGCTAACTTCATAAAATAAACTTCCACAAGAAAAAAAAAAGATTTTTTTTACATTGAAGGGATGCTTATGCTCATCACCTGTCAAAATAACGTGAAGTGTTAAGACGTTACATGCTTCAAGCAACAGGCAGAATCTCCTTAAAATAAAGCAGCATGCAGCATGAAACAGTTTGAAGAAAATTCGTGGACTGAAATAAGCCCCAATCCTTCAACAAGCAGACTTATTTGACAAAAGAACTCGGGGTTCTTTTACAGTATTTACTCCTCTGTAGAACAAAAATAAAATTCACGGTTAGTCAGTTTGCTCTACTTGGCACAATACAGCAACAAGCATTACACTCACACTATTCAAACCTTGGACATCATCTGCATCAGAAACAACGCTTCCCCTGCGGTTGGAGCGACTGAAATAGTCAGCAGCAGTTTCACTTTTATCAGAAAAATCAGAGGACTTGAAAAAAAGAGATTGAAAGAAAACTGAAGATTATAAGATTATACCACAGAATGAACAAGATTTTTTTTTTTAGATGTAGCAACAACTTACATTTTCATTGTTGCAATTTATTCCTGGATTTGAAGTATAAGAACTGCAAAATATTCTCTTCTGAATTTTTGAGACATTAAGTGTCTCTGTAGAAATAATACACGTGCCACACCATGATCAATACTTTAGCCATGCATCATTTTTAAGTACACTTCAAATTTATTGTTCTGATCATTGTCTATCTAGCTAGGTGCTTATCTAAAAGCAAGACCAATAGATATTTATTATTGACTCATTTTCTATCATTTGAGTAATATAAGAAGTACAGTCAAACATAGAAAAACGGCTTGGAATCAGTAGTGCCAAACTACATAAATCCTTAAAAAATTAAAGAGAATAAAATTGCAAGCCATAAAAACAGATGATACATTCTGAAGTCAAGAAAGAGAAGAATACTTTTGTCGACAAACGTTGTTTCTTCTTTGGATCACACTCTTACCAATCTAATCTGGGCTTTCACTCTCAATTTCCAGAATCTTTACAATGGAATAAAAAGTTTTCTCCCTGAAGCCACCCTCACGTGGCTAAAAAGTGAGGGGAAGAAGTGCTCACATTACTCACAGAAAAGGCAAGATATATCTAAACACATGACGATCACTACAACTGCCACAGGAATTCCAGTGAAATGTTTTTTTAAAAGCACATTATATATGTTAAATGTGAACAATGCATTTAGTTTTAAAAGTACTCGTATGAAAGAAAAATCTTTAAGTAATTTGAAAATACATGGCCTCCAGTCAATTTTCACCATTAAAAAATAACTCAGAATATCTTTGTACTTGAAATAAATACTCGATGTAGCTTCATCTCATTTGGATTGAAGATGGTGAGATGCCTTGCACACAAATGTGACCAGTGACAAATAAAATAGGCAGCCGATAAATACTTACAGCCACTTCACAATAACTAAGGAACCAGAAGGAATTCCAAAGAACACCATGCCACCCAACTCACCATACTATCACTCTTCCCTTGCATGGCAAGATCAGAGAGGATGCATTTCTGTCCATTTCATCATCTGTACATCACAAGGATTGAAAACATTCCCTTGCACTTAAGTCATTATAATTTTTATATTTCTGTATTTTATTATAGATAAAAATAATGTTTGAATGTTTGTCCAAGAAATTTGTATAGCACAAATGAAAGATCTGTTCTGCGAGGAACAATGAAGAAACTATGCTTATAATTAAAGCAAAATAAAAAGCAATAAAAAACTTTAAAATAAGATAAAATGAATGACTTATACAAGCTTGAGAAACAACTATTGAGGCATAATTTTTCTCAACAGTAATATATATGTTTTTTTAAACAGAAACAGTTAGGTCAGAAGGCTGAGGCACAAAGCAAGGCTTGTATTAAAAAACAAACAAAAACAACATTAAAAACCCTACAGCACCAAACAATTATGTGTCTAACATATTTACTGCCTCAATACAAAGCCAAACAGAAGGCACAATAATGGATCAAAACACATTTAGACTGTGAGTAAAACTCAATAGTGTGCATCTTCATGGTGGCCAACGGGAAGGAAAAAAAAACTGCTCAGGTGCTCCTCAAAAATTACCCTGGTTTTTCTCTTCAGTAAAGATTTATTTCATTACTGTTAAGTTCATAAAACGTATCTTCAAAAGCCTCATCAGAAAATTTAAGAGAAGCCTTTTCCCAATATGCCAGTTCTACCTCTGAGAAGGTACTCAGCACACCTGCATCTTATTCCTAATGGGTTTTTCAGATGCAGAGCACTATGGATTTGTATGTTTTTCAGTGTTGTTTTCTACTCTGATTTCATGTTCTCTTCTATTCTCCCTTTTGATTTCCCAAGGTTACTGAGCTTATTTCCAATGCAACACCCCAGTGACACCAAGTCTTAACAACAGAAAGAATATATGGAGTGATGATTGAGCTGTGAGCAAGATTTTTGCTCCGTCTACTTAATATCCTTCTCAGAATTGTTTCATGCAATTTTTTCCACTTGGAAATCTATTAAATCTTCACTAGTATATGTTGGCATTAATGATACCACAAACATACTGAAAACTGATACCTAAACTCCTAAATATATATGTTTTATATATAAGAAATTACACTCCATCTTGAGAAACAGAGGAGACAATGAGTACACTCAACATCCAGAAGACTTCAGAAATGGATGACAGTAACTGCTAAGTTTTGGAACCCTTTACAGAAATGGCAAAAGCCCCTTTTTCCTATACTCCTTAAAATTTAGTCTGAGTCTATTGCAGCTAAAAAAAACAATCAGTTTCTGACAAATATATTTATTTTTTTTTTTATTTTTTCCTCTCTAACACTGATAAGAACATGTGAAAAATGAAAACATGACTATTTCAGTTTAACCCACACAAAATGCTGACATTCTTTTCTTGGGTAGCATGACAGATGCATCAGTAAAACTGACAGAGCTGCTCTGGGGCAGAAACATGGTGTAGCTACTAAAAATCACTTTGCAGCACAAAAAGTCATCTTTGGAGCAACAGTTTCAGCTTAACAAGTTTATCTAATTTTTTATCTAATTCGGGAACAAGTTTATCTCATTTTTAAGTACCAGTCACCAGAAAAGTGAGCTGATTACTTCTCAGTGCACAATATGAACAACACTGAAGTTGACATCAGTCCTCCTCCCCCACAGAAAGACTTTTTCCACATGCTGGGATCCAGCTGTGACATAAGGTGGTAACTGCACAAAGTACTGCACTTCAGCACTTAGTTCTTTCCAGTTCTGTACATCACAAATATTTGAGAGATGCTTAAAGCAGGAAATTCCTTACTGCTTCTTTATTTCATTATCTCACTGCCTGAAGTTCACACCTTGGTAAAATTTACATCTCTAACAGAGATTAATAATTTTAGAATTATAAGAATTTAATAGAATTTTAAGAATTTAATAATTAATAGATTTTAATAAAAAAAAGTGAAAATCTAATTAATCAGTAAAATGACTCACTGTTCATTTCAATCAGTGAAAATTCTCATAGCTGTTGTGTGTTAGTATCAAAGCATTCAGCAAAACATGCAAAGGAATGCTCACCACAGGACTACTTCGAATTGAGCTTGCTCTTGAAGAATACCAACTGTATTCAGATGGCTAAAGAAAAGTGTTAAAAATTTTCTTAATTTTCATTGCTTTATGTCTCCAAAAAACCAAGATTTTGAAGGAAGCAACAGAAAACCTGTAACACTTACAGTGCAAGAACTACATGAGCTACGTAATCCATCACCACTCAAAGATGCCTGAGAAACAGAGGGAATAAAATGCCATTTATATTCCGACTCAGAAATTACTGTCACACACTCACACTGAAATGCACTGATAAATTAAATCTCATTTTTATTATCTTACCCAGCTAAGCATTTTCCAGTTGCTATTTATGTTTTTTGAAAGGATGAAGAGCAGTTTTTAAGAATTGCCAGTAGCATTTCCTCCAACTAATATGATGTCTACTTCCCAATATAATCTAAATTTCAGTGAAAAATAGCTAAATAAGTTTTGAAAGTCAGCTTTTTTCAGAAAAATAAATATTTTAAGTGAAATTTATTTTTAGAAGTTGCAAACCACCCTGGGAACTGAAGTCGTACCGTACACTTATCCATCTTGAAAACCCATGCAGATTTTCCTGAAGAACTTTTTCGGAGCGCAAGGCTGAAATCTATTTATGTATAACAGAAGCTCTGGCACCAAGCTGAATAAAAATGTAGAGCCTCGTGTTGGTTTCCCCTACCTCTGAAGCTATCTCCAATAGAAATTAAGAATTATGTGCAATAGCAGTTATCACAGTGGCATTCTCTCACTGGATCTTCTAATGTTATGACAAAAACGCACACAAAATCAAGAAGCAAACTGCTTGCAATTCAAGTGCATAAGTGCATACAAATATTACATCCAAAAAATTTGACTATTCTCTCACATAGTTTCAGAACTTCTCTAGGTGGCAGCTAAGTTAGATTTGAATTGCTGTAGCAGTAAAAGGCATTTAGTTTCAAGCATACACAGTACCTTTTGAATAGAAGCTTTATGGAGCTACTTAGCCATTCTTGTTCTAGCTGCTTTGTACTTTGCAAAGATGCCCACTTGCACTTTTGCACACTTACAAGTTTTAATTCTGGCATCTTATTTGAAAGTACATGAAATGTATTTACCACAAATTTCTGTAACATCCAGACAATGAATCTCTCATTCAATTGCTAGATTTTTTAAAATATTACACATGCAGTTGTTGTCTATCGTGCTTAGATTAACTAACTCTAAGGCCAATGTTCATGAACATTACTGCTGTATTCATAAACTTTATGTTTGTCCGTAAAAAGATCATCAAATAGCAATTACAAAAGCAATTTAAAGGGGGAAACCTAGCATTTAAGGACCCTGAACTAATGCCTCCCCAAAACGAGATGCATGAATTATGTATATTTAAGAGCACAAGAAGAATGCACATGTAATGCTGTCAAGCCACACGGTCATACAATACAAACTTAAGGCAACCGTGCAAAATGGGGCTTACGAACCAAACTGATACTTCTTATCAAACCAGTGTTTACAGAAGGAGACACCTATAAAGAAAAGCGTAATTTGAATTTTCAAGGGCCATTAAAACATCTAGAGAAAAAATGTCTTTCATGTAGTACTAACCCTGTAACTCCTAGTTGTTGCCACTGGATCACTGTATAGAGAAGACGACTGTAATGCAAAGAACAGAGAAAACAAGAGAGAAAGAAACTTTTTCTGTGTACAGCATATGTTCTTACCAGTTGCTTTACATTCACCAAAAGTTCTAAAGATGGAAGTAAGGTATTATAGTTGCAAAATACGTAAGAACTTTTAAGAAAAGTATGGATAAACATTCCAGGAAAATCCATCATCTTTGAAAACGAAACATGCAACGTTCAGTGGAATAGTCTAGAATTTTTATCAAACAAAAGTAGCAATAAATTAAAAGACATCAATTTCCTTTAGACACTTATTTAAACACGACAAACATACCTGCAGTTACTGTGAGATGCAATCTACCTCATCAGGCTGTTAATTTATCACTCACAGCAATGTACAGTGAGTAGCATATTGGGGCTACATTTTTAACATGCTGTATGTACTTTACATATTAAGCAACAAATATAGGAAGGAAGGACAGACCCGAGTATAGTAGGAAGGAATCGGTTTGCTATATCTAAGGCTGCTATAATTTCTTTGATCATGGTAAAGTCCACTCTGTGAAAGGGAAAGAAAAAGAAAAGAAACACTAATATTGCAAGAGAAAGAAACACTAATATTGAAAGACCAAATTTGACAGCCCAACTATTTCCAAGTTCAAAAATTGGGATTTTTTTTCTTGCCACAAATTAGCATATGCCATACTCTTAATGTCTTGCCCAAAGTAGAGAACAGTTGTGTTACGCTCCCTTATAACAAAACCCTAAGAAGTTTGACTAAACTCTGACAAGTACAACATGAAATATAAGAAAAACATGAGACAGAACTCACTAATGATTACTACAGTTGTTCATTTTATCTTTCTTTTTCTATTAGATACCAACTTATATCAGAACGTGGAGGGAGAGAAGAATCTAATAGGGAATGGACGTTTCATCATCACCCTCAGTCCATAGCCTAACGCTGTGCATTACACCAAGCACAAATTCTGAGGGCTAACAGCTGAAATTCTGGCTTATTGTTGCTTTTATACATTTCACGGACAAATAGCACACATATGCATATACATATGTGAGAAGAAATTATATAAGAGAGAGAAAACAGAGAGGCAAGTACATGGCACAGTGTAGTACTTTTAGCATTGTCTCAACCCACACGTCCACTGCTCCAATCACTGCTAAGTCATCAGCTGTCAACATCCCTGAAAAACTGCCTCCAAATGCTGGCACTACATTGATGCCACACACTGGATTTTCTAGAAGAGTGTTCAGAAGATCACAATAACCCACATCTTCCTCAAGAACTCACATGAATAATGTCAGCGTTTATGGTAAATACTACCTTAGCTAGTTCAAAACTACAGTTAAACTCTAACAAGTAGTGGTCAAAGCACAAGTAATAAAAATCCGTATTTGCGTTCTGACTGAATAAACTTTAATTCACAGAAGTGCCACTTCTAAGCCATTTGAAAAGGCTTCTCACTGAATGGTATTTTTCATTCAGATGAGCTCCATCCACGTAGCCCTACTGATGTGACACAGCTTAACACACTCAACTTGTCAGAATTTGGTCAGTACTACAAGTTCCTTTGTTAACAAAAAAATAAAATAAAATAAAAGCATATATCAGCAAGCCAATCCATTTATTCATGTACTGTATTAGTACATAACAATCTAGACAGTGTATCTATAATAAATATCATAGAAAACTAACCAATAAATCTTTACGGGAATAAGCAGTTTTCTTCCTTGTACTGTGAGATTCACCGTAAGCATGACTCTAAGAATCAAATTTAGAAAAATTAATAGCACTACAAAACAGCAGCTTCATTCTTAAAACACAAAATGTCAATTCAAGACATTACATGACCAGAAAAATAGGCCATACATCTAACACTGTGTAAAAAAAAAAGACAAGTAAAATTATAACCATCCTTATCTTTGGTTAGAACCAAAGTATTTACCTTCCACAAGAAATGTAAAATCAAAAATCAACTTAAAAGTGCTTAATATTACAGATTATTTTAAACACTGTTTTTATTATGCTGCCTACTTGCAGATTATTCAAATAAGCAAATTCAGCTTTTTAAGCTGCTAACATGCTTCTGAGTGGAATTGGTGCTCCATTTTGCTGAAGGACATGCACGCAAATCTAACTTACTATAATACCACATCAGAACTACAATGCTTCATAATGGTAAGAAGGGATACAAACCACATGCTTTTTTCTCTAGATCGAAAAAAACCCGGTATATTACATTAAGTTTAATCTTCTATATGAAATATAGGATACAAATGTGTACATACAGATACAGTGTTGCCTTTTTGTTTTTAATTATGTGCTATATAAGTTGCACTTAATTACATTTATGGTTTAGCAATGACTAAAGTACCTACTGCAAAATAGCTGTTAGTTGTCTATACGTTACTCCATTAGACTTCTTCCCCACAGAAAGTGGGGAAATAGTATTCTTGACCTTAAAGTGTGATAGCACAAATCTTCTCTTTTTTAAAAGTCATTTTTAAAGTAGCAAGTTAGTGTCATCACACTGTGTAAGAACAAATCAGTCTACATTCACACAAAAAACATGCAAAGTGTGAACATACAGGGACCGAATATCTTGCAGGTCTATCCTTAGCACTGTCATACTGAGGTAAAAGAAGAAGAAATGAAAATGCTTACTTACAAAAGGAAAACAGAACAGAAATAAAATTGCATTCAACTGAGGCAGTGCTTGTTGTGTTACATGATGAAAGGCAGATAGCTACACAGGAAAAGAAGTCAACCACCATCCGTCAACCCACTGTTGAGGTACAAAACACATCACAATGTAGGGGCTCCCCAGAGCACCTTACAGAGCATGGGAACTTACAGCCTCTAGGGCACCAAAGACAATATGGGACGCAGGGAATAGCATTTAGGGATCAGGTGGGGGAAAGCAGAGAGAAGTGTTTTTGGAAGGAACGGGTGCATGAGGAAAGAACAGTGGAGATAAAAGGGGTTCTCTGTGTGTAAAAACACTTCTGGTGACTGTCCTTGTCTGGCCATGCCCTCTGCCTCACCAAGACAGTCTGATCTGGCTTCTTATTAAACTCCACTTCTAACTACTTTCCTGGGTGCACATCTGGATATGGAGGCCCAGGGCAAACGACTGGACAGACTGAGCGCCTAGGGCCAGTTACTGGAGGATCCATATTGCATACATGTATGTATTGCTCACTGACAGGCCTTCCTCTTAGTCAGCATGACACAGGAGCAGAATGAGGCTGCCTGTGTTCATGTGAACGCTGAGTGTTCCTGTCCACATCAGCCTTGTGTTTTAATATAAACAAAATAAATTTAACAATCTGATGTTGTATATTTGTCTTTTTTGGACATTCAGCAACAATATTATTAGCTGAATGTGGGAAAATGGAATGACAGTGGAATGATAGTGTATCTCTCAGTCCACCAGACTTAGGAATGCTTTAGGAAATTCGTTTGTAATAAGTTTCCCAGTGTTCCCATGTCTTCTGTCATTCAAAGACTTCTAGACAATCTATATATTAATTTAAAAAAAAAAAAAACACCAAACAACTACAACAAAAAAGAAGAACATACATCTTAGGTTTTCACAGTAAGTTTGTTCTTTTGATTTCAATTCATATGTATAACTTAGTTATTCTGACTGTACATCACGCACAATTCAAAATGCTGCTCACTATTATCCTAAGCTTTCTTAAAGCAAAAATAAACAGAAGTTGAAGATGATTCAAGAACACAGTAATATGCTAAAAGCATGCTAGAGCACTACTAAATGTTAGTTTTGGTGAGAATCACTGGGAGGACAAGAAAAATAATTTCTCTTATCTACTGGTATGTCTGAGAATTCTGCAGAGTTTAACTTACATCTCAACTATAAAGCGTTAAGAGCTTACAAAAAAAATCTTTTTTCATGTAAATATTTACTGAAAAACTGCCTAAGCTCTGAGTGACACAAATCAGATACAAATACAGATTTCTAAAAAAAAAAAAAAAAAAAGTAGAATTTCTATTCATATTTTAGTCCAGAATGCAGAAATAGCATAGCAATACATTTACTTTAAAAATAGTTGAGAACAAAATGCTTCCTGACAGAACTTCCAGGAACACTTTTGTACCCACCAAGGTTGATGCACCACCTCTGTCACTTGATTTTACTTCTCTTTCACAAACATTAGGAGAGACTGAGAGATTAACTCCCTTCAAACTCAAGTTTTTCCTTATGCCCCCAAATTTGCTATCACAGATAAAATGCTTGATTACATCAGTTATTCCAGCAGTTCAATAAGCAGCATTTTCCTTGAAGAAGCATGCTTTCACCAAGCAACTGCTTTGGTAAGTAGAGATTGAAAGGGTTATAATGGGAACACATCAAGGCATGCTCATTCTGGGTTACACACCACAAGATCTCTCCTTCTGGTGGTACTTGTTCTGCTCCTGTGAGACCCACTGCTATCCAAAGGACTCTTAAGAATGAAATTGCAAAAATATTTCAATATACAATGTCACTAGAAGACTCTCTAAAGGTAACTGTTGAGCTTCGCTAAATTATTTACTCTCAATCTTCATGTATTTGTACACTAAGTGAACAAGTGTAAGAACAAATCTGAGCAAATCTATATTATTTCACAAGTTTTTGTCTCCACTTACAATACAATATTTTTTTTCTCTCTATCAGCCAACTGTTGTTTGCAAAGTAGTCAATATTAGGTCACTAAAAGCGTTTATTTGGAGAAAATACCTGTGACAAAAAAATGTAGAAGCACTTATTTAACACAGAGACGTGTAAGATGTTACATAATCTTTGACAAACTGAATTTGATTTCTAATTGCTCGTAGTAAATGGCAATCATTTTTATTTAAGTCACACCAGAACATTCTATTCCAGTGAACTAAACAGACCCAACCCTTTTAGTATTGTAACTTGTCCCTCCCTTGGGCCTTTATTACAACTATTCTTTAGCACCATTTTTCATTCAAAAAGACTATGGGAAAGCCAGTACAACAATAAATAATTTTACTACCAGCGTTTGGGGTATCTCACAGCATTCGGGTAAGGCTTTGTCACTAACAAATAATACATTCCCACATTCTCAAATAAATAAAACCCTGCACTGTATTTCTTCTTCAGAACACATCCTCAGGTACTCCTCTTTATCCCACAAGTATTATAGAAATAGTACTATCTGAAGTGCAAGAAAACACAACAGCGAGCAGAAGACCACAAGCACTGATTGGGAATGAAAGCTGAAGTTACCAACTAGTATTATTCATCTTCAGTAAGTGGTCCTTATCTATAGGATGACTGAGTCAACAGAAGCAGTATTAATTTTTTTTTTTCTATTTGCAGAACTTCTGACACAGGCAAAATGGAAAAGAGAACTTCTCCCCATGAGACCACTGCCATCTGAACTGTTATTGTCAATAGCAGCTTCACATCCAACCGTGAGCTCCTGGTGCGTAACAGTACCCATAGAGACAACGGGCCGCTGCTGCAGGAATTCTAATGCTCTGCCCTTCAAGGAAAAACAATCGATTCTTACTAACTGGCAATATCTGAAGCCTAAATGAGGACAGTTATTCAGATATTTTTAAAGAAATACTTCATTTAATAGTAGACTGGACTAACGCTAAAAGATGACCCTTACAAACTGTCATTAAACATAAGTTATTCTAAGGAACCAAATGTTTCATAATATGCATTTCTAAGCAATTTCCAAGCCCTACTCTCAGCCACGGAAATTGACCATAAATTATTATAAACAGAAGAGGAAAAGAACTCAAGGTATTCACAGCATTAACTTCAAAGATTTAAAATGTGACGATTGATATTCTTTTGAAATGCAAAGACACAAATGCATACGATAAAAAACATTCATGAAATACTGATGTAGAATTGATGGAAATAAAATACCAAATGAAGTTCAACATCACACGTGATTTAAAATACCGTCCCCCAAATCATTAATGCTGAAAGCATCATCTACTTCCTGATAACATGAAATTGTACTTATTTTTAAATACAACTTTAGTTGTACTTTTTAAGAAGGGCCTTGTGGCAAGGGAAAAAATACAGTTCTAACACGAACCAAATATGAATGTCGACTGGACCGGTGAGAATACCTGGCCCTCTCTGAATCTTCCTGAGAAAGAAGAAATAGAGTTATTCATGGTAATAAAAAACATTAAAAAAAAAAAAAAAAAAGGAAAAAGTAAAAGCAAGTGAAGGTGAGCAACATGCTGTTAGCACTTTTAATGCCATGTATTATTTTCAGTAATCGCTGTGGTAAGTGAAGTCATTCAAGATTCAAGTCAGGAGGAATTGTGATTTCACCTGATTTTGGAAGCGTATTAATGCATCATGTTATAAAATGAAAATGAGAAAGGTGAATATAATTATTCAGTTAGAGTCCAGCACAGAAACCTTCTGATTACTGTACTAATGTAGAAAAGCGCAGAAGATTTTTTAAAAAGTCCATTTAAAAAGCTTTGCAGAATTACATTTTACAAAGGCATTTTAACCCTTATGGAAATTATTGTTCTCTGTTTCCTGATGTATATTTCAAATATTCTATCCCATAGGAATAAAGCTTCTTAAGCAAATGGATCAATTGCAGAATCTATAGGAAGCTGACATCTGTAGTGTCCGTGGAAAATGACGAACCTAACTTACACAATTGGGGAGGTAGCTAAGAGACCTTCACCTTTTATTTTGAAAGACCAAGGAATGTTTATTTTGTCTCAAATCAGCATCTCAAAATTTTCATTACAAAAGGTAAATAAATTTAGAATAATTTCAAAGCAATCCCATTTGAAAACTGGAACAGGGCTCTAGAACTAGGATCTTTACTCAAATAAATCACTTCCTACCATTTTACCATATATCAAACTATTATGAAGATTGTAAGCTACTGATCTTCACATGTAAAGGCTCAGCTTCCTATAGACAGCTTTCATATCCCTTACTGTCACAAGATTATTTTCTATATTATTATCACTGGGTATATTAGCATGTTTAACTATTCAAAAATTGCCTGGTTAATTCTTGGCAATAAAAAAAACTGTACATCTTCTTATTATTCTATCCTTGTATTACCACAAGAAGAGGTGGATTACATAATGACATTTTAGTCTTCCTCTCTGTAACAACTACTTTGAGTTTTAAAATGAACATCGTGCCATGGAATAAATACCTGCTACTCATTTTTGCAGTCTGCAAACAGAAGCTCCATGCTTAGATAAAATTCCTCCTGGTTGCCTGTATAACACCAGTGTTTCCTCAGTAACATACCTGAATTATGAAAAGCCTGACTTTCTGTACACAGTTGCCTAATTTTGAAGTGAAATTGCTCACAAAGGAGATTTGCATTATGGAACACATGGGTGGTTTTGTTTTGTTTTTTTGTTCTGTTTTTTTGAAGGGGGAAGGAGAGCAGTGTACATAAATGCACATTTTATCACACATGAACAGAACCTGTTTTGATTTGTTATAAGTGACATGAAAACTACCACACAAACATGCTAGCTAGGTGAAGAGTCAGTACAGCTCAGCACAACTTCTGCAAATGAAATTCTAATGACAGACCAGCCTTTTTCATCCTTAGTGCCAATTAACAGTCACTACCTTATGACTATTTTTGGCATGTCCTAAATCTTCTTGATTCAAATCATTCACAGTGAACGCCAGGATAAAAGCAATCCCCCAAAACTCCCACCAATTCACAACAACATTTCTTTTTAAGAGGAATTCTCTCAAGAGACAGACTAAATCAGTATAAACTGAGACGCAACTTTCTAGGACTGTAATTCAACTATTCACATGCCTCCCTATTCAGAGGAAGCAAAGGGCAAGGGGTGAAAGGATGAAAGTAACACAAAGCTTTTTTGTTTTGTTTTAAAACATATTACTCGAAGATTTAAGTCACAAAAGCGACTTAATCGATGATCAATGAAATAACCACTGTTTGCTGTTACTCAAAAAGGAAATAAATGCAACTCTGCCAAGAAAACAGTGGAGAAAGCCTCAAACCAAACCCCACAAGCCAAATCCCTCAAATTCACTGAAGTAAAAATATTTACTATTGAAAAGACATTTACCAATACTGAAACTGAAGTAAATTTGAAGAAGGACACATAACCTCAAGTCAGAATATGATGTCAACAATATGCATCTCATTTAAGTTTCTTCCTTTTTGCTTCCATACGTCGTCTTGCAAATCCACACCCATACTCAGCTATTATGCATGTTTTTTTCAGCAGTTCAAGACAGCACAAAATGACACACCACAAACCATTAGTAAATTATTTCCTCCAAATCCTGTTAGTTCCTCGAGTGGCAAAAACATGCACAAAAGGTTGTTTTAGCCTACCATCCATTTCTGGATATGAGCCCATTTTGTATCATATGAATGCTGAGAAAACTACAGAATGCAAAAAAAAAAAAACAAAAACAAACCATTTACAAAATAGTTTCCAAATCAAAAAATCCAGACAAATCTAAGTTCATTGCCATGTAATCTTCAAAGTAGCATCAGATACAACAGCAGTTAGACAACAAGGTATGCAGTAATGAAAGACATATAAAAACATGTATTTTATAAGCAGTACTTACCATCTCAGCAAAAAAAGCAAATATCATTTACACAGATTTGAATAACTACATGAAGTAACTGAAACACTGAAACTTCTGCTTGCCATGTGAAAACCTGAGCAGACTGCAGTAACCATGGAATAATCAAACACAGCTGACAATCTGCCTTCTTTATGCTTTTTCAGTCAAAAAAGTGATTCTTTTTTTTAAAAGGAGAAATGTGTGCAGTAAAACACAGTGTGTAAATATTATCCCAATTCCACTAAGTTGTTTTAAACAGAAATCCTAACAGTAAGTATTTACTGTAAACATTGAGTGCAATCAAAAGGGAAGACATTGACTGAAAATTGCATATCTGAAGTCACATACTCATATTATCCAGTTACTGAATGTATTATAAATAAAAATAGAGCAAAAACTGCTTTCCCTTCATCCTTTATCCTTTAATATAAGCAGTGTTATACATGTATTATCTACACTGTGCTGCCAGTTATCCATACTTAGAATGAATCTTTTTCACAGCAACAACAGACAAAAACTGCTGAGTGCGTTTTACAGTACAGTAAATGTTTACAAAAGCAATACAAGCCAGATGTCTCAGGTGGAAGTGTACTGATTCATATCCAAACAATATTAAGCTTCACATTAGATAATTAAAACTGTTCCTTTCTACACAAAATTATTTGTGCACACCTGAGTCCTGGACATTGCCACTTCCATTCTCTTCTCAACATTTAAAAGAAATAAGCAGTAACATATAAATATCTCATAAAAACATGAATTCATTTATGCCCACTTCTAAATGTTAACACACTGAATTCACTGCTCTGTTAATGGTAAAACACTCAAATACCTCATTTGCCCACAAAGGCAGAATAAAAAAAACAACGTTACAAATAGTTTATTTCTCCTTTGGAAGCACGAGTTCTAATAGCCTACTTGTACAGCAGATTTTTTTCTGCAATACAGCCTTAAATATTACTCAAGTTCAAAATCAGTATTCAGACTAATACTTTGTGAGGTGTTAAGCACAGATGAAAAAGCAAGATAACCTTGAGTATACAATCCATAGGAAAGAGGAGGGTAACAAGAGTACGGTTTGGAGCAGAGGGGGAAGGAGAAAGAGAGCTAACAGTTACCTGATGCTCAAAGTCCCAGAACACCACTGAATTACACTGAAGGACAAAACTAAGGATTTTAGCACAGGTTTGCAGTGACTCCTGGCACTTTAACACTACCTCTTTTTGCTGCCTCTCCAGCTCTCTCATACGTATATCTCTTGCTTCTGCTCGAGCCGCCCGTTTTGCTGCAAGTCTGGCTTCAGCCTACAAGCAAATTGAAAACATTCCAAGTTTAAAATAAGTTCTGTGTGTAACTGTTTGCATACTGAATGTAATAACCTCTTCACGTAATCCAGAATTGATCACCATCACCAAAACATGACTTCTTTTCCACTTACAACTTCACATTCCCCAAAACATCCACATTTCTCACATTTGGATAATGAATGGACGAAACTTCTCTGTTTTTTGAAATATTAAACTCTTCATGACAAGTTTGCCATAAAAAAATCCCGTTGTACTTCTAAATTTAATTAAAACGAGCACAGAGAACCAAAAACTCATAACTTCCATTATCCAGAACAATTTTAAAAAACTTTTTCGAGGTTGGAGACTTCAATGGGATGTTGCCTAAATTAAGGGTTGGGGGTTTTTTTGTGTTTTTTTTTCCTGCTTTTGTCATTGGTACACCATAGGTTTATGTAAAACACTAGAAACCTATCAGATGCATGAATATTGGGATTACCTACCATGCTTCAGGAAAAAGAAAGGGCAATTAGCGTTTGGATGATATCACAAGGACAAAAACATCTATCAAAGAATTATCAAATAACAACAAAAAAAAGCAGCAAAAAACATTACAGCCTTGTTACTTAAAATAGTCTTAATTTCAAACAATTCAAGGATGTTTTCTCTCTATTCTTCATATGTAGATGAAATGATTGGAAATCAGTGCCAGCACTGCTGACTGCCACTATTTGATCACTTCTCAAAGGCTGCTCTTCCTGCCTAAGGAACACATACAAGAGAGCAAGGGAATCCCCAGCAACAGGAAGTCTTTTCTCACTTGTAACCCTGCTCTGCAATTGCCTGTGATCATAGCTTACGTGGGAGATTATTTCCACATGCTGTACAAAAAGAGGGAGGATTCATGTAGCTGATACGCCTAGTTTCAGATCTATCTATAGAATCATAGAATCACAAGATTGGAAAGGACTTACAAGATCATCTAGTCCAACTGTCCTCCTATCACCATTACCACCACTAAGCTAATAAACCATATCTCACGGCACCTCAAAGATCACCTACAGCTCAGCAGACATAAGCAAACAGCCTTTAGACTGGTAAGGCTTTTTGGTTAAATATAGCAAGTCTGTTTATTGATGCATGGTAAAAGTCAACTCCCTTTTCATCATTCTCTCCTAGCCCTGCAGCCTAAGTTTCACAACCATGTTTCTAGAAGGAAAACCCAATGTTTCCTCATTTTACTGAACCTTCTATAATACTCAGAACAGTACTATAAACATATTGGTCACAAAATATATGCCTGAAATTGAAAAAAAATAATCCCAATTTGTTATAGAAAAAAAAAACCAGGAAAAGAAACAGTTTGGTACTGCGTTAATCATTAATCTGAGCAACTAGATTCACCAAAAAAAAGTACAGAATTGAAAAAGCACCAAAATGCAAGGCTCTAGATCACACTGCATTCAAAAGGCCATCAATTATTCTTTATTTACTATGGAGTTGTTAGACAGCAGACTTGTCATGAAAACCATGATAACTATGTAGCTGAAACTGAAAATGAGCATTAAGCAATTAACTATTAAAGAAATAACCATTATTCATAAGGACATAGCAGCAATCAGGTAGAATGCTATTTACTCTTTTGTGATACTGAAGAAAGTCTGTAAAAGTTGTTACAAAACAAAAGAAATTCTTCAGATTGAAATAGTCTCACATATCTACTAGGGGAAATACAGTGCCATGGCAGCTCTGCACAGACAGCTGACTTGAAAAGACGAAGCTGTTTGGACCACAGAAGTGGTAAAAAAAAGAAATTTAGACTTTTTTTAATCAGGAAAAAAGGAAAGAACAGACAATAAGATTCTAATGCTTTCATAACTCAGTCAATACTTGAACTGAAAAACATTCTTAAAATATTCTTTGCTCAAATGCAGTTGGGAGTCAGTACAGGTTGATTTTTACAGCTTGCATTAAATAAATTTCAATCTTAAAAAACTAAAGACTGGCCAATAGAGCCTTCAGCTCAGTTTTATCAATTGTTGTTTTTCATATAGTTTTAAAATCAGAAGAAATGTTTCTTATGAAAATATATTACAATATCACGGAATTTAAACGCAGCTTCTTAAGAAGCGATGTATCAAATCCAAATGTTCCTGAAGCAACAAAATTAAACTCTGCACTGTCTACTATCTAGCAAACATGAAACTATTTTAAAAGCTTCTAAGGGGATTTCCAGCTGCTATAAGGAAAAAGAAAGTGATAGCTGAGATTTCTTAGTCGCTTCAATTGCAAAAAAGATGAAGTATCCAAGCCTGTTCAATCCACACCAGTACACCTAACTGGTGGCTAAAAAGAAAAGAAACTCCTTGATTATAGTGGAAGGCAAACAGGAAAATTAAGGTAGAGACAGTGACTTTGTCTGAGATTTATTCAGAGAAATGATCAAGAAAGGAAGTAACAGACAGATAAGATACCTGTAATAGCATACATCAAGTAGATAGGAACACAAGAAAGAGGCCCTTGCTACTTTATTTGGACAGGAAAAACAAGATTTCAGTAATATTTTGTTTTGTTCTGTACATAAATACACATGCACTGTTCCTCATCTTCTACCTTCAGTGTAAGCACAGACATGACTTTAAATCAAGCACTGTATCTGCATTTCTTCAGGTATCAGCTCTGCTGCTCAAAGAAGAGCTAAAATATTCATTTACTTCTGAGTTCTGGAATTCATCTCATTCACTTCAAAACAGATATAAAGGTATTATATATTATAAAAACGTATTTCCTTGAGCCTGTATAAGCATCATTTCATTCTAGAAATATATATTCATATTTTTGCTGTTTTCAAGTACACTATCAAGAAACACCTCTTATTGGAGTACGTTATTTTAGAAAACATGGCACTGGAAGTGAATGCTCTCTTTCCATTACTGGTGATATGGTCAGTTTCTTCATTTTCACCTAAAAATGGTCACTAAAAACTACTTGCAATTATTTTTAAAATTGCCTCTGCATACTTCATTTCTCCTCATTTCCATTTTTATTTTAAATAAATTTTTTGCTGCAATCTTTTTAAGAACTTCCAAACCACTTTATCTAGCACCTGGTTCTTCAGTTAGCATCCAAATAGTTTCTGTAGGAAAGGAAGAAAAAAAAAACAAAAAACAAAAAGAGGAAAAAGACCAGATTTAAATCTGAATGTCTTTGGCAGACAGTCTGGAGTCTTCTTTCTGAAGTGTTTTTTTCTCAGCATCTTCACAGCACTGATGAAATTCTTCATAAAAAGTAAAAGCTTACAATCACACAAAGGTGACACGGTAGAAATTTTCCTCTCTGCAAAGTTAAGCGAACATAAAATTTGCCTCCACAGTATGGAAAGGAATTTTTCCTCCTTCACCTCACTTGCAAGAAGGCAATCACTAGAAAGTAACAGTATTTTGATTTTAGTTTCTATACAGTTACCTCACCAGCCTCATTAAAGCTTATTTCACATTTCTTATTGAGGGAAGTCGTTGCAGTTTTCTCTCTTGTTGCTCATTTCTTCAGCTTATTTCCATGCTCCTTTACTCTCATCCTCTCCTTACTGTCTCTCCACGACAGCACAGTCATTTACACACCAGATGGATTTCTTGTCTCTCCTCAGCTGTATCTTTTGTTTTACATTTATGTTTGATACGCCTGCTTTTTGTCCAACTGCCACTACGTAAAGAATACAAACAACAACATCTTAACATTTATATGATGAAGATTTAGCGTGCTCCTGTCACATTTAGTGCAACAGCACAGAGGAAATGCTTGCCTCAATGCAAACTCCCACAGCAAGCAGAAGACAGGAAAGCTTTCCAGGCTAGTACTACAACAGGTAAAGGGGAGGGGATGCTAACAGCAAAGTTATCTGATACAAGAGAGAAAGAGCGAAAGAAAACTGACAAGGAGAAAGCAATTTGTTCAAGTCCCTCAGATCCCATGACAGTGACTTTCCACTGAATGTTTTCATACAAGACAAGACATCAGATTCAACTGATGAAAAAAATGACCATACAGAAGTGAGATTATTGGTTCAGTGCCAAAGAATTTGACACCATAATTTCCATTTTTGCAGATGTTCGTTGGTTCCAACAGACTTTGGTTTTTTTACACATCCCACAGAATAAAAATAATGATCTCAATTATGTCAAATTATAGAGTGGCAAGAAGCAGTGAGATTAGTACTTCCTTAAATATGAACATTGTAAGAAAGCAGAAGAAATTTTAAAAAAACAACCCCAAACCTCATACACTACAGCAGGAAACCCTTAGTATTACAACTACTGACAACTCCTAGTGACATTTTGTGACTGCTTTGAATCCCAAAGCAATTTCCATGAAGTTTTTCCAGTTGTGTGCCAGACTTTTGTTTCAGCAAATTCTGTTTACTATTTCTTGCTGTCTAGAACACCTCAAAGGAATATTTTCCTCACAAGACATGCGAGTCAGAATTTGGTCCTGTAATCTACATCTGCTAAAAGGTAATTTCAGTATAGCAAATTGAAGAACAGAACACCCTTTGACAGTGAAAAGATAAACAAGACATGTTGCTAAGATAACTGACCGAGATCAGTTGTGTACATATTCATGCACAGAGAATTGGAAATCCCGATGTCATAAGCATGTCAAATGGAAACATCTCTGCAGCCTCAAATGAGAAGGCAAATGAGAAGAACAGTACAGTAAAATCAGATATTGTTTAAAGATAGACTTATTAACTGGCTTCAGCTGTTATACCCTGGGAAATGAATTCTGTTCCTTTAAAGTAAAATACAAGGGCTTTTTAGACAAAAAGTTGGCTAATACTTGAATTACAGCAAGCAATTCAATGACAACAGCTACTCTCTTGGCTGGTTACTTCCAGGTGCTTATTTTTAAGCTGCTGATCCTACTAGAAAAGTCCTGGAATATGAATAATATGAATAACATATGAATCTATTTTTGACAGAACTGTGACTTCATCTTTGAAATAGAACACGTTTGTCAACTCTTGTAAATACATTCAATAACTGTTACACCTTCAGTGCTAACAGACTACACTGACCACTATAGGAATACTGAGCACTACAGCAGGCTAAACCTTCAGGTTTTTTTATTTCACATTTCAGAAAGCAACTGGATTTCTCATAAATCAAGGTAACAAACAGTTAAAGCATACCTACCTGCAGAAGTAGCTGCTAAGCTAAAGTGTGGCGCTATGAAGTTACACTAACCATAGAAGTAAGGACACTTAATTCCAGTAAATGCCATCTTTTCAATTTAAAGTACTCCTCATTGGTGTTTCATTTTTGTCTAATTATTGGACTATAAATCTGCTTTCATCTCTATTCATGAATTAGAAACAAACTGAAATTAACATACCTCCCTGGCAATGCTACTCAGAGCTTCATCTTCTGCAGAAAATCTGTCTTTCACTGGAGTTCTCTTCCGTCCTGATCCAGGAGTCCCCATTTTTATTCTCTAATTCTGTATTTGCAAAGAGAAATTGGAGAAAAATAACACTCAGTTTTTAGATCTGGAATTAAATAAAAAAACCCAACAGAACGAACCCACACCCACAATCTTAATAATTTAGTTACCTATTTTTTCAGCCATTTAATACTCAAGAACTCAGTATGACATCGGCATAAGGGCTGTATTTTTGGAAAAACTTTATCAAACTTTTATGGAAGCTTTATAAAATCTGACTGCATCGTACAAAGCACACACAAGTTTTTCCACTTAACAGAAACCACTCATTTACCTACAGCTTCAAAGTCAGACACAACCATCAGCTACTCCTAGCTCAGTGAAGATACTTACACACCCTATCATTTTTCACAACTCCTAAAAATAACAATTAAATGCATTTCATGGACTTAAGAGACCCCACAGTCAGCAGCAGGTTCAAGAACTAGAATTACACAGTCATTAGAACACTCTCCAAAACAGAAAAAATTCAGCAGACAGAACCTTTTCAAAGCATCCAGGCAGGTAATAGACATTTATTTACATTTTAATACAGCTGCAACTGAATGCAAACTTCAGTGTATTACAGTAGCATTAAAGACATATCCAGGGTAACAAAAATATTCTTTTGCCTAACTTGGAAAATGAGGAGAGAAACATTCCAGTGTCACGTACTCAGTATAATACAGAACATCTTCCAAGCACCTTTTGCAAGGAGAAAGAAAATCACCAGCAAACCAAGACACAGCTCGTGTTTACAACATACAGTCACAGAGAGTAAAACATTAGTCAAAAGTAGGGGAACAACCTCAATTAGCTTTTTTTTCCCTAAATACCTTACTAACAGCCTACTTCCAGACATCCAGTTGCTTACAAGTGGCAGATCAGAACTCGCTGGTAGCCCAGCTACTTGAGATAAAGGAGATAAGTGTTCCACACAGGGCCTGGGAAAAAGCCTTATTTAGTAAAAACAACTTCTTCATGCAAATAGAAAAGTTCCAGGAGCAAACTCTTACTGGCCACCATTTTGAAAACAAATTGGTTTAAGAGCTTTTCCACCACCTCTAACTAGGAAACATCAAAAAATCCCTAATGCTTCAATCAAACAGGCAAAATAAATTCTGACAAGGATTCTTCGTGCGCGGACACTTCATCATTTCTTACTCCATTATTTTTATTAGAGTAACAAAACCAAAATATTCGGGCTATTTTCTGGCAAAGAGATCAAGTAGCAGCATGATGCCCTTTTCTTCCTTTTTTTTCTTTTTTTTCTTTTTCAATTTAGCTTCTATACTTCTAATCCCCACCATAATATCACACTGCAAGTCCTCTCTCCCTTGCAGGCAGGGATCTTTCATCCTGCTTCCAATGCCACAGGTACTTTCCTAACCTTTATGTGCTTAGAGTAGGGAAATATTCTATTTGCTAAGAAAGGACAACAGAGCCTTGAAAACTACACATTTCCATTCTTAAAAGCTCCTGCATAGGACAGACACTGCTATTATGGAATATAATCTTATCACTTTCCAGTTGCTATTCTGAGATCCAAACTAATGACGTTCAGTGCTGCAGGTGTTGGATAGAAGTGCACTTTTAAGAACAAATATAAGATACCAACCTCACTCTTATCTGAACTTGGAATGATTCTAAAGGACAGCAGAGCTGGAACTCAAGGTGACTACAGACTGATCTGAGGTCTAAAACAAGTTCTGCCCCTGTTGGTCAATTCTGTGAGAATCTGTTCTCTTAGCTTTAAAACAAAGCAAGCAAGCTCCTACTTTGTACTTTGATGAACTTAAGTACCCATACTGAGAAAGCAGATTGAAAATGTTTTGGTGGCAAAGATACAAGCTCAGAACTTTGGCTTGCTGCTCTCATTTGGGAGAGGTGTCCAAAAAAAAAAAAAAACATCTCTTTTCAGTAAATAACACTGACTGGTTTCAAGTAAAAAAGCAGACAGATCTCAAGACAGAAGCAGCATCAACATGTTATAGTAGGAGAATAGCACTTTACAAGTACTCATAAAGGCTATGGATTAGCCTAAATAAAACAAGAAATCATGGTACGTGCTATTGTGATAATCCAATTCATTTAAGCAACAGAACTCAAAACTATCTGCTAAAAAGGCCAATAGGCAAGAAATGAAATTCTTACCATTTGCATTTCTCTTTTAGCATCTACAACATCAGCATTAACAGTTAGCGTGCAACTAAAAACTGCTGAGTACCTGAGCACAATGCAGACCTGACCTACATCTGTGGGTTTAAACAACATATCACCTCTAACATTCAACTAATTCAATTTTGTGAATTCACTGAGATCCTCAGAGGATCAGAGTAATTTAGAGAATGAAATATAGTCAGCTGTATAGCTATTTTTAGTATGGCTACGTTCAGACTGACAGTTCAGTACTTAACGTATAATTAAAGAGCAGTGAATGTGCAAATAGAACTTCGTCACAGTTGAACTGGAGCATGAGGAGCAGGAGTCACTGCGCTGTAAAGAGAGCACAGCATTCCTTACAGCCATCTGCCAGATTTGCTCACCAAGATGAGCACAGAACTCCTGACTGAGCTCAAGCCCAGGAAAGGAAGCATGAACAAACTACCTAGAAGACACATAGGGACATTCTTTCTGCATACAAAGATGAGTTAGAAAAGCCAAAAACTCATCTAGAGTCAAAACTAGCAAAGGCTGATAAATACAAGAAAGGTGACTATGAGGACATGACTGCAAAAGACAGGCTGAGAAAATAGTATGGCCATTGCTCAGTAAGGCAGAGGACATATGTCAGTGGTTAGACAATAGCAACTGTGAAGAAAAAAAACTTGTGTCAAATATGCAATTGTCTGACAGTGAGTTTGCCCAAAACATGTCATGATGGAGAGCAAAATGACTATCATTCACATCAAACAGCAGGAAATTACAAAGAAGTGTCTGAAACAAAGTAATCAGCTTTAAAGAAAATTGGACAAAAATACAAACATCAGTGGGGGAGGCCTTGGAGAGGAAACAGCAGCTGTCCAAACCTGGCCTGACACTACAATGTGATCCCTGCCCAGGCCAGACAGCATCCCTCCACGTTGTCTATCTCTCACCCTTCAGCCTGCAGGCAGCCAGTACAGGGTGCAGGAAGCAAGGAGAATCTGTGCCTGGCTGCAGGCAAGCCTTGAGGTCATTTCTCACCAGCACACGTTCAGGCACTGTGGGGAACGGGACAGGTACATGCAAATCCAGAGCATCTCCAAATGGGAAACACATGCAGAGGATCTCGGAGCTGAAGAACAGAGAGCAGTTAGACACTGGCCTAGAGAGACTGTGAAACTCCAGATTCAGAACGTGATCAGACAAGGCCCTGATCAACCTGCTCTACCTGACCATGCTTTGAGCAAGGCCTGATCTCCAGAAGTTTCTTCCAAAATTACTCATTTTTTGCTTACGTAATTCTTATAGCTGCCAACTTTGAAACTCTCAATACAATCTCTTAACAAAATGTTTTCTATTCCTTCAAGAACCTTATCACACAATTTCTTGCATTCCATGTAGCTTTTAATCAAGCTGAGGTATCACAGAGTATTTCATGTCTCGCTCTATGATTCAGTACTGAAGGGATCTAGTTGGATTGCTAACAGACCAATAAGTCTAATACTAAAGGTATCAGGATGTTACTTCTCTTAGAAGACAGCATCAAGTATTTCCACAAATGTAAATAAAAATATTCCTTATGTACTTCATTTGTGTAACTTGCACAATACAATAAACTGAACACATGCCATAACAGTAGAATTTTCACCAAAAAAAAAAAAACACAAAAAACTGAATACAACCTAAAATAAAATACAACCACCCAAAGAACAGTTTGTTACACTGGGCTTCCTGAACGATGGAAAGGAAATGACACTATAATCTGCTGCGTTTACAGTTCAGAATTCCCAAGTCACATCTCTTACGTGCTCATTCCTTAACGTAGGTGGGGTTACACGTATTATTACAACAGGATATCGCTTCATCAGCTGTGTATTTCTTTTTATTTTTTTTGAAGTCCTAAAATAAAACAGAAGACTCGTGAGGAAATCCCTCAATTTCTCTGATTTCCCTTCGCTTCAGAGATATATAAAGTTTCACCCCTTCCACAAGTTAAACATTTCTGCCTACTCTTCTTCCTACCATCTCCTGACTAAAGGTAATCTGTTTATCTTTTCCTTCCTAAACAAAGGTGACCAGTCTTACATAGAACAGAAGCTACTCTACATTTTAAGGCCCTATCACTCACCACCTTCAATAGCACCACCTGTTCTGATGCCTGGGTCTACGCCAGCGTATTTGGCATCGCATGCATGCGAGGCATTCAGATACTACAGTGTGAAGATGCTATAAATAAACTGAAAGAGAAAAGGAGACTTTCAAAGTAACACCACAGAACACTTAAGAAATTCACCTGTGTAGAAACAATCTCTGTGCATCTGATCCAATACCAGCAAAGAGCAGCACTGCTCTAGAACCACTGTTAGAGCCAGCCTTGCAGTTTCCTAACACTAAAGCCCAAGTCAGCAGAGGCTGTGTATTTAAAAAAAATAAAAATGAAAACAACTTTTCTGATCTGGGGAAGGAGCTAAACCTCTTGCCCACAATACCTAGCTTCTGGAACAAATTTAGCTGCCCACCTGGCAAGCTGGCGTGCCGATCTGCTTTAACTATCCGTAAGTGAATCACATGGATCATAAAACACCATGAAAGCACTACCTGCCCCTAATGATAGCTACCTCTGACGTGTAATGAGAGAGAAAATACAACTAGGAAGGTGTTCATTATAAAATACCATCTGGAAGTAATTTCACGCTACTAGATGACACAAATGTCTATGATACACACTTTTACCTGCCTTTTATCAAACAAGAGCCAGCAGTAAGTGTTTTCTCAACAAAACTCAAAGATCACAAATTGTAATGGTCCACATGATCAACTTCAGTTATAAGTTGATTCCATTTCAATTTGTGGGTTAACTATGATTTCACAAGGACAAAAAGGCAATGAAATCAGTGGGAGTTGATCAAAAAGGAGGGCTGGAGTTTCTTAAAATCGGTGTGAAAACCTAGAAGACTCTGAATTAAGGTTGCTTGGATGAATGCTAGAAACACACTAAGCAGGATGGATGTAAGAAGCAGAAAGAAAAGCACATTCATCACTAATAAAACAAGCACAGATTGCTGATAAAAACAAACAGCAACTCATTCTGATTTCTGACAAATTTCAGAATTCCACAAACCCCAAGAATACCAAAAGAACAAGCTTGTGAAATACACTACTCAGTACAAAATCTTCTTCATGCACCTCACTAAAAAGAAAGATCTAAGCAAGACTGCTATGCAACAATGACGGAGTCAAACATTTTGAATATACTTCCTATTTTAATTGAACACCTGACCTTCACTTTCACAGATAACACAGCTGATTTCATAGCTATGAAAGGTATGGAGGCTACCATGCCCACAATTAAAACAGAATATGCTCAGCAGAACACTCCCAACTCAGTAATTTTGAAGAACTGCCTCATGAAGCTGCAGCTCAGATTAACACAGATCTATAAAAAAAATTATAAATCAGAGGTATTATTATTGCAAGCCAGCAGAGGTAGCATTTATATTTAAGAGGGAGCAGAAAGAATCAGACTGGAAAATTACAATCTTATTTGTTTAAGCTTCAGCGCGTTGTGAAAGCAAGTTCTAAAGTAGAAACAGAAATAAATGGACACAGAACAAAGATACACGAAGAGTTAAATTACGCAAGGCTGACACAAGAGTGCTCCCTAGAAGGATGCACTTGTAGCATTCCTCTGAGCAAGGACACGCTCTTTGGAATTAGAATGTCTAATTCACGAGGGGAAAAGGAGGCAGCTTCATGTGCTAATGATCACAGCGACCACCCTGCAATGAAGGAAAGAGGGGAATCAGCAGTTGTTTACATAATGGCTTTAAGCACTCATTCATAATTTTCACTCAGCACCACCTTGCTCAGAAAAAGATTATCTGAAACCAGAATCATCGCAGGGGGTGGAGAAACTGATACTATGTGTAAAACATCTAGCATTAAAGGAAGAAGTAAAGACTGACGGTTACTGTCAGCCAAAAGGTGACAGCGCTTACTACTACAACGGGGGCAGTTATTCCAGTTCATGAACAGTGTTTCCACTAACAACCAGAAAACCTCTTTGTCTCAAATCACGTCCTACCTCAAACTGGAGGTACAGAGATTCTGCTCTGAATGAACAAGCTCACGTCAGCCTCTTCAGGGCAAAAAAATCCCCCTAAAGTTACTTTGTGCACAGCTGTCAGCCTGCACTGAGTTAACTATCAACAATCCACACTGACACAACACGTTCCCAGTTCATTTCCCTTTTAAAAACCTGAGAAATACAGCTTTTTGCTTCGATGGTGGCTTTTAACAATAGAATGACAACTCCTTAGAGAAAGCTGAAATCCCTTAGCTCTTGAGTGTTACAAAGCCAGGAACAGACAGAGAGCCAGAAAGCTATTATGTAGTCTGGAAAAGTACTGCCTGACGGAGCCATGAAGTGTAACCATATCAGGCTAGTGTTGGTAAACTTTAAGCAAGGCAAGACAGTACTGTACTGACATATCCTACAACCCTGTGGGAGTACCTAACACCCACAGGCCCATCCATCTGTCTTTGGTGACCTTCCTGTCTTTGCAGACTACCAGAATCCTGAGACAAACACCACAGAGTGAAGTGACTTCAATCACTGGTATTTATTTTATGAAGCATGAATTCTTTGCCAGTCAGCTGCTTACAGCTGCACTTGCAGATACCACGACTCCGTGATAAAAAATGACATGCAGAACATTATCATTATTGAGAAGAAGCATCTGAAAAGCTGTTATAATAGTCTCACAGCCAAGACTATCCTAGGGCATGAGGTAAAGGTAGGTGTCAGAGAAGCAGAGTGACACAGCTGGACATTTACAGTGTCACCAGTGTTACCACAGGTACTGAAGATTCAGGGAAAATAAAAGAAAATCAAGCATGATTTTCAAATTCGAGGAAATGACAGAACTACAATGAACACAATGAAAAAAATTGAAGGAATGCATAACGAAAAACAAAGTCACACGAATCTTCCAAAAACAAAGCAAACTGCATTTTCACACTGTCAGCTTTTCCAAAATGAGTATCCGCTATCATTTTGCAAAAGAATGATTCATTAACCATTTAAAAACAAAACACTGCAACACACTGCTACTCTATTGAGACTATTTGTTAATGAACGAAACAAACAAAGAGCTCCATGGTAACAGCCCACGTCAAGTAATAAGCTGCAACTACTGAAGATATTTCTCCATTAACAACTTCATATTTACAGCACTCCTACTCTTTGCTACTATTGCTGAAGTTACTCTACATTGCAGGAAAGCTACTGAAGCACAACAGAGCAAACCTTGCAGGGCACAATCTAAAGCTGGGGGTCCCCTGTGTGGCTATCAGGCCCTGGGGAGATGCTCCTTCACCTCTGCCATGGCAGCAGCTCTAGCTCTACATGCCTAACACACATCCATGAACTTCCAACAGCACTATCTATGTGCACTATTTCAAATGATATATAACACAGAAGATCACAAAGAAGCAAGCTTGCATAGGAACAAGTTGCCCATTGCATACATTTACTAACTCATTTCCAGTTACTCGGGATAATAAATTCATGTTACTTTCTCAAAAAGCATCTCTAATATATATATATTTTAATATGTGCATTGCACTGACTTCTGTCACCATTTATATTATTCTGTCACCATTTATATTATTATTATTTTTCAAAAACAAACATCATTGGTTTTTCATTGCTGTTATATACTGGATGTACTAAGCAATATATCTATCTAGATTTCAAAAATAAATAAAAAAGGCATGTGTGTTATGATTATACGTGTTTATTCTTTATCATAGAATCACCAATGTTGGAAAAGACCCACAGGATCACCCAGTGTAAACATCCACCTATCATCAATAGTTCTCACTAAACCATGTCCTTCAACACAAAATCCAAACATTCTTTGAACACCTCCAGGGTCCGTGACTCCAGCAGCCCATTCCAGCACCTGACCACTCTTTCAGAGAAGTAGTATTTCCTAACGTCCAGCCTGAATGTCCCCTGATGCAGCTTGAGGCCGTTCCACTCCCAGCTCATCATAACCTCCCTTCAGGTAGTTATAGAGAGCAATAAGGTCTCCCCTGAGCCTCCTCCAAACTGCTCCTTCAGCCACTATTTAAGACCTTAGCACGTACTGCACAGCCCCCTGCAACTGGAAGTTTTAGACAGTGCTGGTTAAACCGGACTCCATGTGTTAAAACACTATGTCAGCTCCTGCACAATGACAGCTATAAAGCAAAGGAGTTCACAAGAAGCATCATGTCTAGGCGAACAAGCTCACACCTGACATTTCACACAGCTGCCTGACATGCACGAGAGCCAGGAATTCTGTTCAGATAACACAACTTCACACCCTAAGGTCAACATCTCCAAACGTAACACAAAGCCATGGGAAAAGCACGTCACCTATCACTGTGCTGTACTGCCTGAGCAGCTTTCATCTGTTCTTACCTCACCACTAAGCAATCAGGCTGTGCGAGGAAGCAGATGTGTATTAAGATCATAGCTGCTTCAGGGCCCCACTGAAACACTTCAAACTCAAGATGTAACGAACGTTTAAAAAATGACTTTTTTAACGCTGCAGGAAATTCGTGCAAGTAAGTAAATATTCCAAGGAAAAAGGCGGAAATCAGTGTGGAAATCAGCTATAACACACGTGGTGGATCGCAGCCCGGAGCCGTACAAAGGCCCCTTCCAGGCTCGGGAATGTCCCCATCCCTTATCAGCACGCTCTGCCCGCAGCCGAAGCAGGGCACACGGAGCCGGCCCGGCAGCAGCACGGCCCGGCGGGACACGCCCTGCAAGCGGCGGAGACACAGCGCTGCGCTTCGAGGAAGCGCGGCAGAGAAAGGCGCGGACGCGGCAATCAATGCCCGCGATCCGCTCCGGCCTGCTTTCCGTCTCTCTTCCGCCGTTGTTCCCCTTCCCGCCGCCCGCCCCAGCCTCACCTGCGGGCCGGAACGCCCGGTTCGGCCTCAAGCTCCGTGCCGGCGGCAGAGGGACGGAGGCCGAAGCCGCCCTAGGACGAGCCGTCGGCCTGGGCCGGGCAGCCGCGCTCTCTCCTCACCCTGCCCCCTCCGCCCTTCCCCGCCCCAGGAACCGCAAGAACCGGAGCGGGGCGGGAGCGGCCGCGCGGATGAGGGCCGTCCTCCTCTCTTCCTCTCCCCGCCCTCACACTGCCGCCTTTTCCCCTTCAACGCCGAGCGGTCGCCGCCGCGGCGCGAGACTGGCAGGAAACGGCGAGGAGGAGGAAGGAAGAGAAGCGGGGAGGAAGGAGCCGGGCCGGCAATGAGGCGGGAGCGGAGCGACGCTCGCGGGCCGCCCTCCAGTCTCCGCGCACACCGCGCATGCGCGGCCGTGGGGCGGTGAGCGCGCGGAGGGGCTGCGTCTGCGGGCGGTGCGGGAGCTGTGGCTGTGGCCGTGCCGCTGTGCGGAATGTGCGCTGCTTTGCTCCCTGCGGCCGCGGTGTGCTGAGCTCCTGCTGACGGGCTGTGTCCCCTACGGCTGGGTCACCGCGGGGCAGGGACAGGTAGGTTCGCGGTGCTTCCTTCTCTGGGTTCTAAGTGGTTCGAACGTTGGGAGGTGCCAGTTTGAGGGTAAGAATCCCGTATAAGCATCACACCTCATCCCACACCGCCCCAAACGCTATTGGACTTGCACGCTGTTGTACGACAAATGCAGGAAGCGAAGAATCCTAGGGATGTAAGATGTAGAAAACAAATATTAAATTAAACATGCCATTAAATATATCCTGGTTTGTTCACCAGGATTTGACTAATATCCATCGGAGCCCCAGTGAGGATCTGCCTTGAAACAGCCCTGCCTTTCCAACTCCTCTGTCACTAAGGCAGGGTGATCGCAGGGATGGTTTGAGCTCTGGCAGAGGTGGTATTTCGTGTTGGAAGACACTTGATAACAAAAAGGCACTGCAGGGTTGACAAGCCTAGGAGTAACGCTCAGGAATGTTCCCAAGAGCCTTTGGCAGAGTTCAAATGTTACACTAAAATAAGCTCAAGTGGATGAACATGAAGAAGGAGTGTCCAGGCAAATTAGATCTATTACAGTAGACATAAAGCAACCTCCTGGGGTTTCTTCAGTATTTTAGGACGTTCTACTTGAGAAACATTACAGTGTCTGTCTCCTTCTTCGTGCAGTGTGGTCATTCCATGCTTATTTTTAACATCATGTTGATTTCTGTAGTAACAGATGATGATCTCACCGCAGGGAGATGGAGCAGAGAGGAAGTGCTGTTGCAGAGGGAGTTTTTCTTGGAATATCAGTAGGAAAGACAAGAAAAGAATGCTGACTTAACCTCAAATAAGGATGTCGTTTTTAATTCTTACAGAAGGATTTATGTGCTGATTTTCTGGGCTTTATGGCGAGAGTCTTCATTAGAAATGTCTCAGGTGGTTTTGATTGAGCTGCAGGGAGAAGTATTTTGAATGGAGAGTCTGTGTGGAATCTTCTGATAGATGCCATGCCCCTGGTCTGTGGGAATTCTCAGTCAGCATATTGCTATATAAAGAGAAAGCATGTTTTCAGTTGTTTGTACTTTTTTTTTCTGATGAAGTGTTAGGATTTGCATGTGTTTGGTCTTTTGATATCGCAGGCAGCACATTTTTCTGTAATGATGCAGCAAAAAGCATCTCTCCTTGAGAGCAGACGTGCATTTTTGTGGCTTGAAAGAGCAATTGTTTACTGAAAAGCAGTGCACAGAGCAGTGTATACAGAGCAGTTACTACAGGCAGTGGTACCAGATGTCACAGTAGCGATTCTGAGTTCAGCATCATTAATGAGGAGTTGAACAAACACTCAGGTTACGTACATTTTTCATTATAGACCTTTAATTAGAAGGCAAGAAATGAAATCACATTGAACTTTTGCTGTGGAATGGCTGCAGTTACAAAATAGAAATTGATTTATGAATCGAACCTGAACAAAATACTATTGAAGCTGCTGTAGAGCTTGTTCCATTAATAGTGTTTCAACTGAAATAAATAAATGAAGTAGCACTGGAACTCCCTTTCAAGGTATTTTCTCTCTTTATAAGGTAGACTATTATAGATTGCTCCTCATATGTTATTCAACCTGCTGATTTACTCTCCCTTTCCTCTAAAAATCTCTCTTTAAAACTGTTTTACTCGGATGAGGCATTCAGTGAGAGATCATCACCTGAAAAAGTGTATCTGGGATGAATGTGCAGATCTGTTGTATAGAATATCTCAACAACATCAAGTTCCTGCAGTGATTTGCAAAGAGTTTTAAGATTTCGTGGATTTTAAGGAGCTCTGTTGAACTCAACATCACTCAGAGTAAAGCAAATTTTCAGTTGCATTCAAAGCAATAGGTAAAAGTCTGCATAGGTTAAATGCTAGATGCTGGGAATCATTCTAAGGCTTACTTTAAGAGAATACCTGAAATAATTACAAAGCTGAGTGCATGCAGACTGTATGCTGAATATAGTTATCAAATCATTTAATAAACTTTTGTAGAATTCAGTGGAATAATAAAGGACTATTATCAGACTCCCTCCATAAGGCTTTTGTATGCCTAGTAAAACATTTACTAAATTACTTGCAAAAGCAAGCAGTGTTTTGCCAGAAATCTAGATTTCTGACTAAATATAATCTTTTGCACACATCTGAAAACATCTGTTTTCAGAGCAGATTTGTTAATTTACCAAACTATTGAAAACAGTGCTCTTTTCACTTCCTCTCTGCTGTTTTGGTCACTGAATTCTTAGTGAAGACTTCTAGAGGTAAGCACTGGAATGTCGTGTTTTATGTTCAAAATGTGTTTATGGGACCTTTTCTGTAATTACTATGGATTTTTATTCATCTTATACTTTAATATTTTAGTAGTAATGTGCTGAGCAGTTTCCAAAGATCAGCTTGTTGAATAAAAAATAAGGAGAAGACACAAGCATTATTTTGACCTATACAATTTACATGTATACAGATTATGAAATATATTAACAATGTCTATGAACTGAGAGTTCATTAGAAACTTTTTTTTTTTAAGTAAAGTGAAGCTATCATCTGAAAAAGGGAATTTAGAAATCAGTTGTACTTTAGAATGTGAAAGTTTTATATTTACGTGGTGTGGTTAATTTTCATACAAAGCTTTTCATTATTATTCCACCGTAAAAACAACTAGGGATGTAGGTGGTGTTATCCTTACAGACTTGACAGACATCACAGAACTGTAGAATTAACATGCTCTTCAACGGATTTGTTTGGTTTGATGCATATAAAAATGCTAGCAACTAATGTAGGCTAAATGTCATTCTATAAAGCTCAGTTTAAAATCATGAGCTGTTCCACGTGTGTTATGTATCCCCCCAAAAAAGATTGTGTAAGTGCTTGTTGATTTTACTGGTGACACACAAACCACATAAAGGAAATCACCTCACCCTTACGCAGCCGTGCTGAGTCTGCAGAACTGACAAGCAGTGTCTAAATTAAGTGTAAGCAACTAGATGTGATTTATTTTTTTTAGTATGCACTCAGATGTTTTTGTTAGTCACTTTTCTGACCATTCATATATTATTTTTAAGTAGATGTCATTAATATAGAAAGTTTAAACATGGCTTCTCAGTACATTTAGATTTTATAACACACTGAAATCTAACTTATTAGATGTCCCCTATGCCTGACAGCACCACTCGGCTTATCTTGACCTACTACAGAGTTCCCGTTGGCTGTGAACAAGTTATTAACATATATGATGAACAAGTTATTAACATAACTAAGACATATCTACTGCAGTTTTTTGTTCTTTGGTGAATATGAAAAGAGTTTAAATATTTTTTTTAATCTTTGCTTCCTACATGAACAAACAGCTCCTTTACAATTCTCTTGTAATACTCAGCTGCACAGATTCACCATATAGTGAGAACAGCCCTTACCTCATTTTCTCCAACAGCGAAGCTGACCCTCAGCATTTAAAACCAAAAGGAGCAACAGAGCCATCTTGAGAGAGATGCTTCCTTTCCATTACAGTTGTGCTCGCGTTCTGCTGCTTGCTTCTTCTGTTGTTAATCCGTTTCTTACTTTGAGGGGGGAAGTGGATGCTTCCTTCATATAAGTACTGTCCCATTAGAGAAGCAGGACACTAAAATTGAGATTTTAAATTTGTGAGGCTCTCCCACTTTTTTTTTTTTCTTCCTTTTCAGAGATGGTCAAATTTGTTTATTGCTCGTGAAAACCAATCAAAAGTATGTTGGCATCTTCCTTCTGAATTAATCACCATCACTTTTGGCCTATTTTTTTCTTTTCACGTCCTAAGCAGATGCTGTTGGCTTCAGTGATTGGAAACTATGAATGCTCAACATTTGTGAGAGAAAAAGCCCATACAAATTAAACAGATTGGGTTTAATAATTCCACTTAGTAAACTGAAAAATCAGCATATGCTTTGGGAGACTGGAAATTAAGGGATATTTGCCTATAATGTACATGCACCTAAGATGTAGGGCAAAAAATGCTTTTCCAAGTTATGGTTAGAACAGTAACCCCAATCCCTGAAATTTGGGGCTATCAATGGAAGTTCCTGCTCTTAAGATATCAGAGAAATGCTATGTTAACAATTCAAACACTGGAAAACAACGGCAAAAAATGTGAAAAGTTCACAGAAAATTTCACAGTACATCATCTAAATGAATGGCGATTTGAAGTAATTCTTTTGAATTCAGTGCAGTTGACACCGCACTTTACTTGTCTGTAAAGTCTAACCCATTGATTCGTCTTTTGTTTGATCATTTGCTTTATTCAGGATTGTGAGATAGCAAGTACCTCTCCAGCTGAATTAGAAAATATTGTATTTATTAAACTGAAATTGCCTTACGAATGCACATTCCATTTTGGAGCTTGAGGATACCTGGATTTTGTAGCAGATTTATCACTATGTGTACCTCGTGTTGGATTTGCCTGAGGGTTATGGCAGCTCAATCTCTATGAAGTAGAAGGAGTAAAAAGCGGGTTTTTATGTTTCTATAGCTAATGTACAGTCCTGATGTTAAAAAAAAAACTTTGTAGAATTCTGTATGTGATGCATAAAAAAGATTGTATGCAACTTCTGACTTTTTTTTTGCTGTTTTCCATCTTTTCACTGTTGTTTTGTTTTGTTTCAGAAAAATCATGTGTACACTACTCTGATTACTTGAATTACAAGACCAAAAGTCAAAATTACTTAAACAGTGAAAATAGAGACGATCCAAGAGGCAGGATCTGCCTTCTTAATAGGCTGAGCAAATGTAAAAGGAGTACTGAAGGCAAAGATGTCACTCCAAATGTATACAGTGAATTTTAATTCCA